TCTTCCAGCCAGTTCTGTGTCCATGCTGCCACTGTCCCTTTAATACCGTGGGCTTCTTATTTTGCTTACAAGTGTCTTATATAGCACTTGATCAAATGCCTTTTTCATATAAGATATGAAAATCCATATAAACTACATCAACTGCACTACCTTCATCCACCCTCTCCGTTACTTCATCAAAAAATTCTATCAGGTTTGTTAGACATGATTTGCCTTTAACAAATCTGTGTTGGCTGACCTTTATTAACCCAGATTTTTCTAAGTGAAAATTTATTTTGTCCCGGATTATAGTATCTAGAAGTTTCCCCTCGACTGACATTAGGCTGACTGGCCTGTAGTTCCCGGGTTTATCCCTCTGCCCTTTTTGTACAGGGGAGTAACATTTGCAACCCTCTAGTCCTCTGGCACCACCCCAGTGTCCAAGGAGTACTGAAAGATTGTGGCCAGAGCCTCCGTTATTTCCACCCTCAGTAACCTAGGATGCATCCCGTCCAGACCGGGTGACTTCTTTACCTTGAGCACCGTCAACCTTTTCAGTACCGCCTCTCAATTTATTCTTATCTTATCCAATTTCTCTACTCTGATACTGTGGCATTGGCTGCATCCTCTTCTTTTGTGAAGATAGATGCAAAGTACTTATTCAGTACGTCAGCCATGCCCTCTGCCTCCACAAGAAAAATTCCCCTTTGGTCCCTAATTGGACCGACCCTATCTTTAGATAAACCTTTTATTCTTTATACACTTATAAAAATACCTTAGGATTTCCTTTTCTCATACAATCTCTTTGCCCCTCTTATTTCCTTTTTCAGTTCTCCTCTGTACCTTCTATATTCGATTTGATTATCTTCTGCATTTTAGACCTGACATTTATCATAATTCTTCTTTTTCTGTCTTATTTTAATCCCAATTTATTCCCCTTTATAAAGGACTCAAGCAAAAGCACCCAGTTTGACTGGTCAGTAAATTTATTAATCCCAACACCTGGTCTGCTTACATATAAGCTTATCTCTCCCTCAAGAAAGATTTTCCACTCTGTATCTCTCTTGCTGAACAATTCCCATTCTCACCAAATTCCTTAACAGAATTCTCACTTTGTTCCACCTCACCCAATTCCGTCCTCACGCTGCTGGGCTCTCTGCTCCTTTGGCCCATTTGATTTCATCCTCACAGAATTCCTACCCAACCATCCTCTCATCACGACATCAAGCTTTTTTCTTAAATGAGTCCAATGTTCTGGCCTCATCCACCCTTCCTGGTAACTTGTTCCAGTCGTTAGTTACCCTCTGAGATGTTGGAAATCTGAAATAAAAACAGAAGCCGCTGGGAACACGCAGCAGGTCAGGCAGTATCTATGGAGAGAGGAAAGTGAGTTAATGTTTCAGGTCGATGACCTTTCGTCAGAGCAGTTTTGACAAAATAAATGTTAAATATTTAATGGACACAAACATTTACTTTCACGACACCCCAAAGCCTTAAATTACGTCAGAGTTGTAATACATAAAATGCTGGTACTTACGGTTTGAGGAGTGTTAGTGAGCTGACCCACTTCTTGTTTCAAGTTCCTCCAAGGTGCAACCCTTTTGCCTGCTCAAACACCTAGAGTTTTATCCCCTTGTGCGTGTACTCTCACACAATAATAATAATAATAATCCTTGCATTTGATAATGCGCCTTATCACATCTTCGAGACGTCTCAAAGCGCTTCACAGAATATACGGTAAAGTGAACTGACTGTATATTTTGTGGGCGAAACGCGGCAGCCAATTGCGTGCAACGGCGCCCCACAAACAGTGGTGGGTTAAGTGACCATTTTATTATTATTTGAATGACTTTTCGTGTAAACCAGGTCCCCTTCAGAATACAACAACATCCTTTAGCTGAGACAGTGAAACGGTTCCTATTACCTGCGGGGTGTAAACGACCGAAACAATACCGTGCAAACGCAAATGCAACATTCTAACAGACATCGAGTCCCCATTCAAATCAGTATTCAATCGAGTTTGCTGGTCCCCTGGTCATGATGTCACCACCACCGCAACCTGCAGCCCTGGTACACATCTGAAAGTATACTACTTTCTCAATCCAATTTAGTCACTATAATCTGGGTGAGTTTATCCCAATGCTCGTAAATCACCTGAGTCAACTCCTTGGACGTCCTCCCAATGTTAATGGCGCTTTATAAGTGTAATCTTGTTGGTGTTGTCTTGAAGTTTAAGACGGCATAGAATTGTAGAATATCATAATAATATTCCTTGCATTTGATATAACGCCTTATCACGTCTTTGAGACGTCTGAAAAGCGCTTCACAGAATATACTGTGAAGTAAATTGACTGTATATGTTTGTGGACAGAAGAGAAGACACATACACTCCCAAACCTGATACAGACATATTCTTTTTCTTCAAATCCACTATTAGGCCTTTCCTATTTAGTGTGGATATTGGACTCTCAACTACAGGCTTTCCTTTAACTCGATGGTTTAAGAATTTGATCAGATATACTTACAGCCTCACAGAAGCCTCATACCATAAGGAATGAGTAATATGGTAGGCACTACACCCTATTCTTACATCATTTTTGCAATGTCTTTTTCCATCTCCTAAGTCAATGGAGCTTCATATTTACTGAGCTAATCATGTTCAGGATCTTGGGTGTTCCCCAAAACAAGTTTATGTGAATTATATGGAAAATCTAGACTGCATGGTGTGGGTGTCAATGGAAGCCCATTGCTCCGCTTACAGAACCTGGAAGGGCAGACTAGTCACTGAGGGTAAGGGAGTCAACCCACTCAGCTCCTGTTAACCCTGCAAGCCACAAGCCCTAATGGGTAGGGTGGTCCTAGCTGAACAATCAGCGGGATAGCTTGCCGGACACCAATATCAATGGCAAACTATGTGGTTTTCCCTGGTTACACCCCAGCAGTTACCCCAATGCCAATTCTGGGGTCCCCAAGCCTTGGTTCTTTCCAACCTGCGCCTAATACTTTCCAGAATTAGGTAAACAGGATGTGTCCCTCCAAGGGGGAGAGTGCGCATTCCATTCCAACTATGTTTCTCTGAAATTTGTATCTCAAAGCGTTCACACAGCTGACCAGAAGTCCGAGCTTGGAGAGGGGAATGGGTCCAAGAAGGGTGGGGGGAGTGGAGCAAATGAGACTGAAAGCACCATCGAAAAAATAGGCCTTAATAGGTCATAACATAGTACCAGAAACGGCAATGCTGGAATGGGCTACATTTGTGCTGTCATTAGAGGTTTGGTCATCTTCTTATGTCACAGTGACCAGAATTGGGGATCTGAGGCCCAAAATCTGATATCATCTTAACTTTAAGAATGATTTAGCAAAAGTTAACATCGGATAGGATTTTGGAAAATTCTTAATTTTCTGTCTTAATTACGAAACTAGTTTTCGGCAGAGGTCTTTTTTGAAAAAGAAGCTTCAGAATTGATCCTGAATGTAAGAATTTTCCAAACTTAATACTACTACTGATAATAATCCTTGCATTTATTATAGCGCTTATCGCATCTTCGAGACGTCTCAAAGCGCTTCACGCAATACACTGTAAAGAGGATTGACTGGATATTTTGTGTGCCAAATTCTGCCTGATCCTGAGGTTTAAAACAATAATCATCAGATTAAGACCAGGTGTTATTTCCATCACTCATTGTTGCTTCCGGCAGTTTGGACACAGTGGGCGAAGAGTCTCATTTCGGTCAATATTTGGTTGTCGTGTTTAAACAGTGAGCACTGGGTGCTGGCTTGAAACAAACACGAGCCAACGACTTTGACGGAGCTGGACTACAACACAAAGATAATACTGAGTAACCCGCGAATCACCCAGTGAAGTTTCACTAACTCACAGTTGGTCTCTCTGACTTGTTCAAACCTGTAACCCCCAATAGCAAAAGAGGAACTTAATCCGAAATAATAATAATCCTTGATTTGGCATTGCGCCTTTCACGTCGGGAGGATGTCTTAAAGCATTTCACTTCCAGTGATTCACTGTAAAGTGTAATGACTTTGTATTTTGTAGGGAAATGTGCCTACAATGCTTTGGATTGGATTCTTTAACATAATAAAAAAGAAGCTCCTTGTTAAAAAAGCAAGCAGTGCCGCCAGTAGACCTATCGGGTTACACTTAATTTGTTTGTTCACCCACAAAATACACAGTCACTGAACTTTACAGTATATCCTGTGGAGCGCTTTGAGACATCCTCAAATGCAAGGATTATTATTGTGATGATGTGTGAACATCAGATGACAGTGGGATTAGACTCAGCTTTAATGTCTTCCCACGTTTGTTGAACACCCTCCCCCCACCCCCTTACCCCCCACCACAACAACCCCACCCCTCACAACTCCCTACAAGAAGTCCCTACTCTAAACATGATGTGCCACTTGCGAGAGGGTACCAGAGGGCAACCACCAGCACCCGGACGTGAAACCTTACCCCTGGAGAGGAGGGTAAAAGGAAGGAACCCAGGGAGAATGACAGGAGAGGAGGGTGAACATAGTAACAAGAGGAGGCCATTCAGCCCCTCGAGCCTGTTCCGCCATTTTATTAGATCATGATTGATCTGCACGTCAACTCCACTTACCCGCCCTTGCCCCATATCCTTGATTCCCAGGCAGGGCGAAACGTTAAGCAAGTTTCCTTACTCTACACTCCTGTTTACTTGGCACCGAGTAGGAACCCGAGTTGTCGATTGGCGGATCGGTTTTCCGGGGGTAACAATCCTGTCAAAATGATGCAGCATCCACAGATTTTTTATTCGCGGGATGGGGTGGTGTGGTGCGGGGTGTGTGGGGGAGAGAGAGAGTTCCAGATTTAAAAGGGAGGAACTCAGGGGGTGGGGGTTGACAGGAGATGGGAGGAGGGTTGAAGAGAAGGCGCCCGGGGAGGAACAAATGTAACCTGTCCATTGTACACATTTACAGTGTAAGCCACTCCCAGTTCTGCGTGTGAAGCAGTCACAAAGGAACCACAGAGCTCAGTACGGAGCTCCTTCCAAGTGCCCGAGGGTCATCTGAGTGCTTCGGTTGTTCAAGACCTTGAAGCTCCCACCGGACAGCGACGGTGACAGGTCCGAGATGTCAGGGGTCGCGAGGGCCATCAAGAAGCAGAGGGATAAAGCGGAGGGAATCGGTTCCCATGAAAACGCTGTGAAATTCCTCAACCAGGATTACGAGGCTCTGAGGCAGAACTGCCTGGACAGTGGGGAGCTGTATGAGGACCAGACGTTCGGGGCCTGCCCTTCATCCCTGGGATTCAATGAACTGGGACCAAATTCCCCCAAAACCAGAGGGGTCGAATGGAAGCGTCCGGGGGTATTTGCACCTTTTTATTTCTCATTTAACTCGATCCTTTTTTCAGTTACTTCTTTGCAATGTAATGCCACAGGGCAAGTCTCCTCCCGCTCTCTCTCTCTCTCTCTCTCTCTCTAGATCTGAGCCTTGCCTTGAAATGAACAGCAGCAACCGGTGACTTGTGTGACAAGCACCGCACATAGACTAGACTAGAGTAAGTTTCATGTAACAACGTTTGAGAGTGATCGGAGGTGCTCTGAGGCGTTTGGTAAGAGTTTTGCTCGGTATTTTAGGTTTAAAAAGCGGAAAACTGAGTACATTCCCTCTGCTCCACAGTGCGATATTAATATTAATATTAATAATAATATTAATAATAATCCCTGCATTTGATATACCACCTGATCACCTCTTCGAGACGTCTCAAAGTGCTTCGCAGAATACACTGTACAGTGTAGTGACTGTATATTTTGTGGGCGATCTGCCAGCCTAAGGTGTCCACACCCACAACAGCATTTACTATATGTAAAATATATATCGATGCCTGTTTGTGGGAACAACTCTGTGCGCAATTGGCTCCCGCAATTCGCCCACAAAATCTAAAACCATGATGAGTCGCTATATCAAATGCAAGGAATATTATTAGTATTATTAGACTGCAGCGTGCGGCTCCTCAGTCTTTGTCGGACCTTGTGTCTACATACAGAGGAAACTTACCAAGTCTCTGAATCAGGTTTCATTTGACAGGAGGGGTGGCTATCAAACCCTACAACTTCCTCAATCTCCCTCACCTCTTCGTTCCTTCCCCCAAAATAGGTCAGAGGTTTTGTTTCTTTGGTGGGATCATTTGCTGTGAACTGTCGAATTGGATATTGAAAGAAATTCAAAAGTCTGCACTTTTTTTTAGCCCTCAATACATAATATAAGCCTTTCAATAAAAACACACAAAAAGAGACTTGGAATACGGTAAAACTTTTTTTTAAAAAGGGGACTAAATAAAACTGCGAGAATTGTTATTCTTCTGAATATGAATGTGTGTCGCGCTGTGTGTTTGTTGTGGAGGAGGGAATTCTCTCCATAGAGAACACCCTTCCTAAGAGAGGTTTACCTATTTTTTCGATGGTTTGATTGTAATGTGGGTGATAATTATCACAAGCCATGTTGCAATTTTCACCCTGTGTTTGGTTGTGCAGTGGACAGGAGCGGGTGGGTGGGGAATGGAGGGAGGGAGGGAGGAAAAGGTGGTTTTATAGCATTCAAAACAAATTCCACAATAAGGCTTTTGCTTTTACAAACCGTCGCAGTTTAGAAAAGGTTATAAACCTTTTTTGGGGGTTTTGACACTTATTGAAAAAAGGTTACACATGTGTTGGTATGAAAGTGACGCAATGCACAGAGAAGAAGTCGATGCTTCCAGAAATAAAAAGCTATTGATTGTTTTCTGTGGGAGTACATTAGTGCGCCATGTTATGTGTGCCCTTGTTGTGGTTTCCAGGCTGATATTTCCATTACACAGAGGCTGGCTCTCTGTAACCGGAGAGCGAGTAAGAGTATTCAGGACGAGGCAGGGTATCATGGCTCTGAAACCCGAAACCACTCTATTATCAAGTAACAGATCAGTGATATATATATATAATAATAATATAATGTCAAAACACCTCAAAGTGCTTTGCAAGAAGTTACTGTCAATTGGCAATTTGCATGTAGCAAGATCCCACTCCAAAAAAAACGAGGATCAATTGGGGAGATCACTGACTGGGACACCGGGAAAAATTCCCTTCTCTTTTCAAATAGTATATGGGATCTTTAATATCCACCTGAACAGACGGATGGTGAATCAGTTTAATATCTCACAGTTTAAAAAAAATGTTGATCACTTCCCCAAGTGGTGCACTGGATTGTCAGCTAGTCTGGGAGTCTAATTCCTCTCAATTCAAAATAATTGGAGTTTCAATCAAATGGGAAAGTTTTACAATACAACACAAATCGAGGCCATCTGAGATTCGTATCAATAATTGTTCAGTGGCGCACTAAAAAGCACACTACAACTTCTTGCTCTGACAAATCTTTTGCCTGGAAGGGTGATGTAATGCGATAATATTCAGAGGCACACAATTCTGCCTGTTTTAAGCATTAAGCCCAGTGCGTGGATTGAGATTTAAGGTCTTGCAGAATATTGGTCAAATGGTTGTCAACTCAGTTTTAAGATTAATGCTTTGGAAGAAAACTAAATCCCAAATTAAGCTTGAGTTAAAGAATGTTTTCCAAAGTTGCACACAACATTAAATTTTAAGACATAAATGGTCATATGCTTAAGAATATAAGAACATTTAGATAATTATTTGGGGAGGACAAGTTTGCAGGGTTAGGGGGAGAGAGCGGGGGAATGAGATTGATTTGGCTAGCTCTTTTCAAAGAGCCAACACAGATACATACGATGGGCCAAATGGCCTCCTTCTGTGCCATATAATTCTATGACTTAGACACTTGGATTTGCATTCTGGCTCAGGCTAGTGGCACAAAACTTTCCTCTGTCTCCTGGTTCTAAGGATCCAATGTTTGATTGATATGCACTATGGAAGGAGGACATTTGGCCCAACTAGTGCCTTCCCCACCTCCCTTCTTGTGGTTTTTGCTGGTTTTCCTGTGCTAGCAAGCGATGAAGATCCAACCTCTTTCTCTTTATTTTTTCGTAGTTACCAATAAGTTTTGTTTTTATATTGCAGGAGCTGTGCTCGAACCCTCAGTTTATTGTTGGAGGAGCTTCACGTACTGACATCTGCCAGGGAGCTCTGGGTGAGTGGTGAGCGACCTGTGTGAACTCTCCCTTTGGTGCTGCTCTGAGATACATCTCTTACTTCATAGAGTTAACCAGATGTCATTGTTATCTCCTTCCCCACCATCTCCCCATGCAAACAAAATGGGTCCATCATTAGAGACAGCCACCCAGGTCTTTGAATGTTACGAGAGAATGAGCAGGACTCCATGCTCAGCATAAAATGTTTACGGGAGACTGACAGCATTCGCCTCTCGAGCTGGGTTTGTGGAGTTCTGTAGCTCAGTGGTTAGAGCACTCGCCCCGCAAGTGAGAGGACCTGGGCTCGATTCTTGGGCGGAGCAAAATGTTGGGCAAGTTGCTTTACTCCACGAGCCTCTGTTTACCTAGCAGTAAGTAGGAACCTGGTTGTTATTCGATTGGCGGATCACTTTTTCAGAGGTAATCCATTGAAAAAAAATGTTGATTACTCAATCCACAACAGTTTGTAGGACGCCGCTGTGCGCAATTGACTGCCGCATTCCGCCTACAAAATATACGGTTAATTCACTTTACAGTATATTCTGTGAAGTGGTTTGAGATGTCTCGAAGACGTGATAAGGCGCTGTATCAAATACAAGGATCATTATTATTATTATTATTATTGTTAGAATATGCGCGAATGAGGTTCATTAAAGAGTTACTGTGCAGTCAGCACGCCTCGATTCCTGGAACCTGCCTGCATAACATTCTTGTTTCCTGCCAAGAAATGTGGCCACGTTAATGGAAATTGTTTTATCCAATTCAACGATGACTAGCTCAGGGGTTTATTACGTGTTAACATTACGGTACTCTCTTTTGCATGGATTACTGCCAAGTGCAGAAGTGGTTTGACTCCCAGCCTCTCTCACAAACTCACAAGTTAGGTGTGATCTCAATTTTTTTAAAAAAAAATGAGTCTAGTGCCCTGGCTTCAACCATCATTCTTGGGCAAACTGTTCCAGTTGTTAATTACCCTCTGAGCTCGCTGGAAAGCCACCTCAATGTGTTTGCTGCACAGTTTTGAGCACCAGTAGTGACTTAACTGCTGTTGGGATAACTCGCTCTGTGCTTTTCACTCACCGAAGAGCAGTGGAGACAAAACACATGACTTCCAATTCTCCCGTTTCTCAGATGCCCTTCAAGTGGTTTGATTGAGACATCCACCTTGAGCTTGAGTTTCTTGGGTTTCATCGATATAAGGAATTACAAAGGAAGTGGATGGGAGACTCCACGCCCAGACACATATATGTGGCATGTCCAGAGACTCCGTTCCCCCATTTCACTGCTGCCCCATTTCAGTTCCTTATCTGATGCTCTTTGAAGTGTTAATTCTTCTGTGGGTAGAAAATTAAACCTTAAGCGAGTTTTGAATGGATAAATAAACATCCCCTCCCCAAACCAAAATACACCACCTGATTCTCATGAGGCTGTTTATCACACACACACACACACACACACAAACACACACACACGTTAGCACATACACACTCACAAATACTCATAGACACATTCACACATAGACGTACACTTTTCAGAAAACTCTCGCTCAGCTCTATAAGCTTTGTAAGCTCCTTGAAGGTAATATGATTGAAGCCATTAATATTATCCCCGAAATTCGCCTCCCGACTTTATGCAGGTACAAACTTGTTCCATAATTACTCTGGAAATTCTACTTAGGAAATTACTCTGATTTCTTCAGATCTGCGAATGTTTCAGGAATTCCGAATGGAGCACGGACTTCCTGCTCTTGTTATAACATTTAGATTTTTTTTTGTTTGTTTTGAATTGCCGGAGATATTTTTTCCCTCCTCCCTTGACAACCTTATATTATGATTCATCAGGAAGTTATTGGGGCTTAACATCCACTTCACTGGTGTACTTTGGCTTTCCACCTTATATAATAATAATAATAATAATAATAATAATAATAATAATAATAATAATAATAATAATAATAATAATAATAATAATAATAATAATAATCCTTGCATTTGATATAGCGCTTTTCACGTCGGGAGGACGTCCCATTCGCTTCACAGAACACACTGTAAAGTGAATTGACTGTATATTTGTGGGCGAACGCGGCAGCCAATTGCGCACAGCAATGTCCCACAAACAGTCGTGGATTGAAAATGACCAATTTATTATTGTTTTTGGTTTCTTTGGAGGGATTATTATTAGGCTCTGTGTGGAGTAAGGAAACTTGCCCAAGGTTTCGCCCTCTGCCTGGATAGGACCACAAAGAGGCCATTTAGCCCATCAAGCCTGATCTGCCATTTTATTAGATCACGGCAGATATTTAATCTCATCACCCAACCTTTTCTCCACATCAATCAATACCAGAACTGTATGCAATACTATCACCCCTTGGTCTCTGTCACTTTACCTGCATTGAACTTCATCTGCCAGTGACTAGCCCAGGTGTGTCAGAGGGAGAATTGCAAACAGTCAGTTTCACAGTAAGAGATCTGATGACAGGTCATCTTTCACTGCCCCTCCTTTACATTGTCAATTGGGGATAGTCTACTATTAACCTAATCCACCCCCTCACTCGGAGACCTTGAAATGATCTCATTGTCTTTCAGTGCAATTTTAAATTGCACTGAATTTTGAAAAATTCTTAAAATCAGTATTCATTTTGAAGCCGGTTTCCAAATTTGACTGAATTTAAGAATTTTCCAAAATTGTGCAGTCTTAATTTGAAGACCTTGGTTTTAAGGCTAGTACAACTATGGATTTGTTTGGCCTAAGGTACTGTAACACAACACCTCCGAAGTCCTGAGGAACACCCAAAATTGCCGTGAGCTGTGAGTAAGTGAATTACAGTCTTCCACAAAACAATCTGGATTTTCAAGTAACATTAGCCTGAGGGGTAAACACAAGCCAAAGATGGAAGCTTGTTGGAAAAAATATTGACCTTTTTGAGGTGGGTTCGGATAGAAGCACAGAACCATGGAAACTTAGGGCTCATCACACCTGTGCCCACAACCCCAATGGCTCATAATCAGGATTTTTCATTCAGAATATCCTGTCTTACCCATTACAACTTCAAGCTCTTATTAAGTGAGTCCATAGTCCTGGTCCTAACTGCCCTACATACTAAATGTTGATAAGAGTCCCCTTCCCCTTAACTGGTCTGAGAATTTCTCCCGCCCCCCCCACCCAGATGGTCTGCAGGTATCTGTTTTAAAAGAAATCAGGGTCAGAAGACATAACATTATACAACATAAATCAGGATTTCAGTCAGTGAAAAGAGGAATCCAGAAAAATATCCTTTACAAAAGCGTCTTGATTATGGAACATTCTGTGCAAGAAGGCCGTAGAGTTATTTGAGGCGCTCAAGAGAGAGATATACTTGTCCAGGCTTGGCGATGCTATAACAGACTTCCCAACTCTTCCCTCCACAAGATGCAAATTATTCAGAACTCTGCAGCTCATGCTCTCTCCGTTGAGCCAATCACCCCCATCCTCACCCTTGACCCTCTAGCGCCTGGGGATCTTCCCAACATGAAAGGCACTCTATGTGTTAACGTGTGTCAGAGAGGTGGAGAGGAAAGTTGTGGGTTCGAGCCCCATGTGTCAGGGACTTGGAATCACATATTCTAAACTGAGACTCCAAAGCAGTGCTGGGAGTATGTTGCGTTGTTGGATGTGCCGTCCTTCAGATGAGACGTTAAACCAAGGTCCCATCTGCTTGTTCAGGTGGACGTTAAAGATGCCGTGACACTACTTGAAAAAAGAAGGGAGCTTCTGTGGGTGTCCTGGCCACCAATCCCCCAATTAAATTGGTTCCTCGCCCCATGGCTGGTTGTGGGACATTGCTTTGCGCAACTGGAATTAATGAGTTTCCATAGACTTGAAGGCAGAACAGGCTCAACAGTCTGAATGGCTTCCCCCTGTTTCTGTGGGACCTAAGCATTTAATTTGGATTTTCAAGTGATTCAGCCAAATAAAGGTGCAGCATAGCCTGAGGTGATGTAGGGAAGCTGCAGACACCCATTGAACATTCCTTCCAAGCTCTTTGTTCAGAACTTTTTTTTGTTATATAGATGTGATCTATTCTTATCATTATTAGAAGGATAAAGAGCTGCCCTGAACTGACAATGGGACGGAAAAGACATTGACTGGTTTGAACACATTCACCTTTACAATGTTCTTTTAATGTCTTCGAGGCAATACTGATTGAGTAATTGAGTTTTAGTTTAACAGGGGAGGCAATGAAATGAGGGCAGCCTTAGTCCCGAGCTCCAGCTGTTGGTTGACAGTGATTTCCAGAACAGGGTGGAGCATTCCGCACGGATATTTAATCAGCTTGTGGTATACTCGCTCAAGGTGAAGAATGGGTAGTTTGGCTGGGGAATTGGATGTTATCTGTTGGGAACTGATGTTTGACAGTGTGAAGCGTAGGCTGGTGTTACTTGAAAATCCATATCAATTTCTGGAAGCCTGTAATTGACTTTAATTGACTTACTCACAGCTTGGGGGTAATTTTGGGTGTTCCACCCAATTCCTATCCAATCCCTTCCCTCCTCTGCCCCATATTCCACCCCCCACCCACACACAACAATCCTATCACACCAAGTCAGTGTGTTATTTTTATCCATTTTACAAAGGAACTTTAAAATGGAAGGAGAAAGAGAGGCAAAGTGGGAGAACGTACGAGGTAGAGGAAGAATGTGAGAAATAGAGAGAGAGCGAGGGATAGAAAGAGAGAGTAAGGGATAGAGGGAGAGAGCGAAGGATAGAGAAAGAGGGAAAGAGAGAGACAGAGAGAGAGTGAGAGGGACACAGAGAGAGCAAGGGATAGAGAGAGAGGGGGAAGGATAGAGCGAGAGCGCAAGCAATAGAGAGAGAGTGCAAGCGATAGAGAGAGCATGAGGGATAGAGAGAGAGAGCAAGGGATAGAGAAAGAGGGAAAGAGAGAGGGAGAGAGAGAGAGAGAGAGAGGGACAGAGAGAGAGCGAGGGATAGAGAGAGAGAGCATGAGGGACAGAGAGCTCAAGCAAGAGAGAGAAAAGGAGAATGAGGCAGTTTTTCTGCCATATGCCAGAGCTGGACTTTGATCGCAACACAGCGATGAAAAGAACTAAGTTCTAACTGGGTTGGAGCACACCTGGGCCTCAGGCTGGCTACATGTTTTTTAAAAAAAAGTGCTGGAAAAGACCAGCTTAAGCCTTTCAATGCCATCCCCTCCCTAATAAAGGTTTGTACTGCCCTCAAGATAAACAGGTTTGCCTTGAAATGGAAAATAAGGGAGCAGGATTTCTGGAATCGAGTCACATAGAGGGGGAGGAAGGCATTGTTATGAATTAAAGGAACGTCTCTTTTCTAATGTAAGCTTTACATTATTGGACTCTTTCCCCACCGCCACCCACCCCACACCCACATCAGTTGGTTGGATCACTCTGGGACGCTGTATATAAATGCAAGTTGTTGTTGTAGTTGGATCTCGCAGTGCTGAGTGGAGCTGACTATAATGTTTGCGGAAGCTGCATGGGAACTCATCCAAACCAGGATTTTCACACTCTCGCCTGTGGATATTAGCCATTGGGATCAAATGTAGAGGTAATCATCACCTGTGCAGAAGAGAGCAAATAAAGATGATCAGCAGTCAGTGGGATAACCTAGGAGGAAAGACTACAACAGCTTGGGCTCTTCAGCTTTGAAGAGAAATGTTGCGGAGGAGAACCTTGTAGAGGTGTATGAAATGCTACATGAGATTGGGAAAACAAACACAGGGCAATACATTCAAATATGCCAAGGCAGCAGAACAAGGGGGCACAGATTCAATGTTGTGTGTGACAAATTCAGGACAGACCAGGAAGTATTTCTTTGCACAGAGGGTAATAACAGGTTCCCGGGGACGATGAAGGCGGCCAGAGCACTGGACTCATTTAAGAAATAGCTTGATGCTGTACTGGGAGGAAGATAGGGTTGGTATTCTAGAAGGTGTTATTGATCCAAACCTCTCGTGTGATCAGCTGTCGGCCTGGATCAGTAGTAGCACTTTCACCTCTGAGACAGATCATGCCTCACTTTGGGTCTTTGAGCTCACGGTGAACTGCATTGCCAGACGTGCCAACCTTTGGATGAAATTTTAAACTGAGGTCCCTGTTTAGGTGGATGTCAATGATGCCTTGTCACTACTCGAAAAGTAAAAGGAGTTTCTTCCGGTGTCCTGGCTAGCAATTCCCCAAATAAAATTTCTTATTCACTTCACGACTGTTTGAGAGGCATCGCTGTGTGCAAATTGGCTGCTGTGTTTGCCTATAAATACAGCCACTGTACACTGTACGGTATATCTTGTGAAGGCACTTTGAAACATGACAAGGCGTTATATCAAATGGAATGATTATTTATTTGTAATTTGCTGAAGCAAGACTACAGTAAGGTTCATTCGTGACTTGCCTATTAGTGCTCATTACAATTCTAAAAGCTGTTATCAGGTTATCAGATATCTGTAGCATCTATTACACTCTACTGTTATCTGCTCTGGAACTCTTGTTGATCAAACAATCTGGAGGAGAGATTTTTTTCTGATATCGTAAAACTTGCTGTTATTCCCAGGTTACCAGCGTGTGATACTTTGAGGTGCAGTGACTATGGACAAACCAGTGAAGTTTGGGGACTGGATTAAGTGTTTTATTCACACATTGATCGAAACAGACCATCGACAATTGAATGATGGCCAAAACAATCAATGAACATTCATGCCTGCGCACACACACACAAAGAATCCGCACAACCTATTGCAAATCACACAGTGCACGCAATACTTCCTTTCAGAGCTGGAGAAGAAAAGATTTGGGTGTGACTATTGATCATCCACTGAGGGTTTTAATTCGTGTGGTGCTGTTATTATCCAACATATCGAATGTTAGGTTACCTCTCCTGTGTCGTAAGTCAACAGAAGTTATTCTAACATTGTACAGTCCACTATTGTTGGAGGACCCTTTTATTGCTGACTGGAACTATTTTATTGCTTTTATTGCTGACAGGAACTATTTGAGTTCAATGCAAAATGCAAGCAGGTTGATCTGGATAAGCCTCCCGTAACCATGCGGAATTCATTGTGAGGGGGTTTGCCCGGGATGTATTCAGAAACCCAGCTATAAGTGAATGTGGCTGTGGCTCTGTGACATATTCAAAGTTGGATTCATTGCTCCACATGAAACCTGAAGCTCTGAACCACACCTGCAAACAGGTGTTTCAGATCTGTTTCAGCCTCTCACCACATTGCTGCTGAACATGTCCTTCCTTTACTCTGTGGTTTAGCTCACTAGTTCCCTGCAAACCAAAGCCCCAACCGTTAGGGTGGTCCTAGCTGGACAAGCAGTGAGAAGCTTGCCAGAAAGGGCTTTCATTGGCAAGCCATGCAGGGTTAGCTGGTTAGACTCCAGCAGTTACCCCAACGCACACTCTGGGATCCCCAAGCCTTGGCCCTTGTCAACGTATGCCTAATACTGTCTGGAATTTGGTAAGCAGGATGCGGAAATCTCAGTCTGGTTTGGGTAATCTTGGTGATAGGTTTCCACCCGGCTGATCAAATAAAAAGTCAATGGTCGGACTCCCTTATGTCGAATTCAACTCATAAAACAAGTAAAGGTCACATGCACTCGCCCAAATGGTTACTTGCCTCCAGTTTTTTTTGCAAAGTGATTAGGGAATATCAGAAATTAGCATGTTTACTCAGCAAAGTATTGGAACTGTATGTAAATTTGGGATGCACAGGGCAGCATTGTTCGGTTTGCAAAGCAAGTTGATGGCTCACAAAGTCATCAGGAGGAAAATAGACACGTAGCCTGTGGGCCCGAGGAGATGCAAATTCTGATCATTCTCACACTCGGCTTAACATAGAGTTAGTCACCATAAAATATACAGACAATTCACTTTACAGTATATTCTGTGAAGCACTTTTAGATGTCTCAAAGAGGTGATGAGGCCCTAGATCAAATACAAGAATTATTATTACTGTTGGCTTCACCTCCAGCAATACATTGGAAGCAACAGCTTCAGTTTAGGCCACCTTCGCACCATCGCCCTCTCTGCCTCATAAAAATCTGCTGTATCCACTCTGGATTTACAGACACGATTTTAGATTTGACTCTTGATATCGGTTTTATGGACTGAAGAGAAATTTCCATTTATGCTCTGACACGTGCAAATAACGGGTGAGGGAGGAAAGAGAGAAATGTGCGTGGAGTACATATGTGATGGGATAATTCTCAACTGCGATGATTATCACATACCTCAAATCCCCCCACTCTCCAGTTTCAGAACAGATTTGATGTGATAATAAAACCTCAATGGAAACTATTGAGAGTTTAGCCTTTGGTTCAGATTCAGCGAAATAAGCCTTTTTCAGTCTTTTTCGAAACTATATCTCAATTTTGACTCAAGCAAGATATTGGTTTAATGAGTAAATCTCCGGTGTTTCTTCTCCTGTGGAGAATTTAATTGTTTACCAGCGACAAACAGCCTTCTCCTGGTTTCTCAAACTCCAGCTGGTGGGATAATTTAATAACTCGCATTAATACAACACCTTTCAAGTTAAATAAACTTCTTGAAGTGATTTACAAAATCTAATCGATTAGAAATAAAGGTGAACGATATTGTATTGTCAAATACAGGATAGGGAACTTGTTCAGCTCGCAAGAAATGACTGTCAAATGTAGTGACTGTGTTTGCAGAGCGTGGCAGGAGTCATTTGCACGAACAGCCATGAAGCAATTTTCCGATTTATCTGGAAGATTATTGCCTCAGAAACCACTTGTCTTTTTGCAGAGAATCGTGAACTCCACCCGAACAGTTTGAGGAAGCCTCGGTTTAACATCTCATCTGTGAGGCAGCAACATGGAGCGTGAGGCTAGACTGGGGGCTCCAATCCTTTGCATTTCCTTCTGACCCAGAGGCAAGAGTGCCGTTGACTGAACCAAGTTGACACGTACACATGCCCACCCACACTCCTTCCAGCAAAAGCATTATAATCGGCTGTCCATTGCACGCACGTCACCGGCTCCCTCTCGATCTGGTCCTCACAAAACTAGAACAGCAAGCACGCTGCCTAATCCAGAGGCTGGTTGGTCAGTCAACCTTCACTCAAAAGATCATCTGAAGCCTCAGAGTCCAAACCAGGAGCGTCGGACTATCGTTCCATGCTCTATGGTCTGTGCAATCAGCTGCTGCATTTCGCCCGCAAAATACGCAGTCACGACACTTCACAGTATATTCTGCGAAGCCCTTTGAGATCTCTTGAAGACGTGATAAGGCGCTATATTAAATGCAAGGATTATTATTATTATAATAATAGGACCTTCACTCTACAATAGGACAAGTTATCTCAATGTGTATGGTGCACACAAGTATGTGGGTAGTGTTCATATGATGTGTACACAGGATGTGTATGATGTACACAAGATGGGGTGTGGTATATATGTGGTGTGTACAGGATGGCTGAGGTGAATGTGTGGCCTGGAAAGGATGACCGTGGTGTACACAGAATCCGTGTGATAAACATGTGATGTACACAGAATATATAATAATAGTGATAACAATAATAATCTGACACTCGGTAAAGTGCTGTTCATGTCAGGAGGGCGTCTCAAAGTGATTCCGGGACATACTGTACAGTGCAGTGACTGTGTATTTTGTACTCGTAGGGATGTGTGCGATGTGCACTAGAATGGGAGGAGGTGTCTGGGGGGGGAAAAGAGTGGGAGGGTCACACAAGACATCGAAAGGCTGGAGATTGATCAATCAATGATTGATACGACAATTATCTCGGATGTTAATTTCGGAAGTTAATGTTTTGGGACGTCCTCCCGATGCGAAAGGGCGCCATATAAACACAATGTGTTGTTGTTGTTGTTGTTGTTGTTGTTGTTGTTGTTAATTAACCCATCGCAAATGGCAAATTCTCAAACCCGATCCCACTTGTCTTTCCAGGTGACTGCTGGCTCCTGGCTGCCATCGCTTCCCTTACCCTGAATAATGAGGTGTTTAGCCGGGTTGTCCCGAGTAGCCAAAACTTTGACTCTGACTATGCTGGAATCTTCCACTTCCAGGTGAGGACAGCTGTTGGTGGGGTGGGTGGGGAGGGGGGCGATGGTGTGTGGCGTGGGGGGGGTGTTTAGGGGACGGTAGGGATGTGCAGAAGGTGGGAGGGAGGTGGATCTCTCTCTGTTTAATGTAGAGAAGGAGGAGGATCTCAGTGGGTGGTCGCAGTGTAACCTCTCTCTGCCCTTTGCCCGCAGTTCTGGCAGTACGGGGAGTGGGTGGATGTGGTGATCGACGATCAGCTGCCGACCATGAACGACAGTCTGATGTTTGTGCACTCGGCCTCAGGTAACGAGTTCTGGAGCGCTCTGCTGGAGAAGGCCTACTCCAAGTAAGTCCTGCCTCCGCACAGCGTTTTGCTCGGTCGGCGTTCACCCCACACGATATCACAAAAACATCCTACGTGCAAACCGGCTGCCGAATTTTCTTACGAATGCACACACCTGACACGAACTACCTGTGAAGTGCTCTGAGGCACTTACACTCTTTGCCTATTTGACGATCCTTGTATTTGATATTGCGACTTATCGGGTCATCGAGGCATCTCACGTGATTTCACCGTGAAGTGCGGTGATGGTCTGTTTGTGGGCAAATGCGGCAGCCAGTTTGCGCACACAGTAATGTCCCACAAACAGCCATGAAGTGGATGATCAGCAGCCAACAACAACAGCAATTTGCACTTATATAGCGCCTTCCCCGCGTCTCAGAGCACTTAGCTGTAGCGGCGGAGCCTGACTCCAAGCCGGGGGCGTGGGGAGAGGCAGCCGTAAGCACAGTCGAAGAGGAGGGTCTTCAGGCGGGACTTGAAAAAGGGGAGAGAGGGGGCAAGGCAGAGGAATTCAGATCTTGGATACACAGCCATCTGACTCAAAGAGGCAAGAATGCTAACAACTGAGACAGGCTGACTCCAGATTGAGACATTTTGAGATGATAGATGGTTTGTTAAATGTAATGATTGTTTAAGGCTTGGCTGTGGTAACCTAAGAAGTGAACACTTTACTAATCCTTGCTATTAGGGGATACAAGGCCGGGATTTTGGAAGCACCAATCCCATATGGGATCTTGGGAAGACAATGATCCTCCTAAAATCTCAGGATTGCAACCCCTATTTGCTGTCCTTGCCTTCACACGCAGTGGCTCCTGTTGTCCGAGCCACAACAATCCTCCCCGCGCACAGTGAAACCTTAGGCAGGTTTCCTTACTCCACACACCTCTGTTTACCTACCTCTGTAGTTAGTCGATTGCTTTCCGGGAGTAATAATCCCTCCAAAATAATAAATTAGAATACGAATTTGGTCACTCAATCCATTAGTTTTTATGGGACGCTGCTGGGCGCAATTGGCTGCCGCACTTTGCCCACAAAATATACAGTCAATTCACTTTGCAGTGTATTCTGTGAAGCGCTTTGAGACGTCTCAACGATGTAATAAGGCATTATATCAAATGCAAAGATTATTATGATCATTATTATAAATGAACTTGTGCTCGCTGCAGCAGTAGGGTGGCACTCCACTACACCAATACTCTCAATTGTTCCTCAAGGTCTAACAAATCCAGCCGCAAAAAAAGACAACTATAAACATTTTTGCTCTCGTCGTGAAGTACCTGTCAGTCTAACCAAAGCCATGCTTGCTCTCAGACTGAATGGATCCTATGAATCTCTCTCGGGAGGAACAACGACTGAAGGGTTTGAGGATTTCACGGGGGGGATCGCAGAGTGCTACGACCTGGACAGTGCTCCGCCCAATATCTTTAAAATCATCCAAAAGGCGATAAGTCGTGGCTCTTTGCTGGGATGCTCCATAAACGTAAGTTCTCTTCTGAATCCCGCTTCCCCCGGACTCACGTAAGACGGTAAAACGAGGAACGAGGAAAGGCCATCACATCAGCTCATCGAACCCGCTCCGTCCATATTGCGTCCTGTGAAATGTTTGTTCCTCTTTGCCTGTTCATGTCAGTCTCCACCGTTACTCTCTGTAACTGTTCATCTTCAGGCCCAGGCTCCAGATGTTTTGTCACGTGCTTGGAAATACTGTAATAGAAATCTTGTGCAACCTTGGCAAGTAGTTTAGCCTCTGAATATGTGATTAGGACTAAAATATGATATTTCCGAACAGATTGCTTAATGAGAAATGTGTAATTATGGGAGAAAAAACGGGACAAACTGTGCAACGCTATTGAGTGACGGATAAATCCACAGTGTGGCCTGGAATTAAGTAGAACCTTAAATGTTGGAGTTTTTTTTGGTTAATAATGTTACTAATTGAACCTCTGGTTGTTCGTGTTAGATCACAAGCTCAGAGGATTCTGAGGCAATTACATCACAGAAGTTGGTCAAAGGTCATGCTTACTCCATTACTGGAGCAGAATCGGTAGGTCTTTTATACCTTGTGTTTATTTGAAATTTTCCTGCCCCGACCAAGGTTTTGTTCAGGACACACACATGTACTATGGGCTCTGTTTTCCCCCACGCACAGGATACACACAGATTACGCAGAACTCATTATATGGTGCAAGCACACATGTGGCTATTGTCACTGACGGAAACTGAATAGCGGAGCTGAGCTGCCTCCAAGGTGACGTGTCTGGCAAAACATGTACGTGCAGAGGTTGACACGTGGCACACATACATGCACAAAGATTGACACATGCTACACACGTATGTGCGGGTAGCATTCACAAATGCTACCAGCACATGCTACTGAATGGCCTCCCACTACCAGACACAGTTTACTCCTTTTAGATCAGAAGAGAGGTTCAGATGAAGAAAGTCCTTTGGCTCATTTGGTCTCATCTTTCCAGAATACCCATCGCACCATCCTCCTATCATAGCATTAAGTTAATCATTAAATGAGTCTAGTGCCCTCACCTTATCCACCCTCCTCGTAAACTGTTCTATCTGTTGATTATCCTTTGTGCAAAGAAACTCTTCCTGGTGCCTACCCTCAAATTGCCCTTCATGATTTGAACCTGTACTCTTTGGCTTAGCATTGCTATTACCTACTAAACCACCAGAGGAGCTCTGAGCATGAACTTCTTTCCTGAGGTGAAGGGCATAATAATAATAATAATAATAATAATTCTTGTATTTGATATAACGCCTTATGACGTCTTCAAATCGTCTCAAAGCACTTCACAGAATACGTTGTAAAGTGAATTGAGTGTATATTTTGTGGGCGAAACATGGCAGCCCCAATTGCGCACAGCAGCAGTGTCCCACAAACAGTTTGTGGATTGAGTTACCAATTTATTATTATTATTTTTTTGAAAGAATTATTATCATCAGAAAAGCGATTCACCAATTGCCCAACCACCAGGTTCCGACTTACTGCTGGGTAAACAGAGGGGTGCGGAGTAGGAAAACTTGCCCAACGTTTCGCCCTGCCCGGGAATCAAACCCAGGTATCTCGCTTGCGAGGCGAGTGCTCTAACCACTGAGCTACAGGACTCTGCGTAGACAAGCAATAGACAAGCAACCTGACTATGATATTGTATTTAAATCTGCAGGTGACATACAACGATGAGCAAGAAAAACTGATCCGGATCCGGAATCCTTGGGGCCAAGTGGAGTGGACTGGACCTTGGAGCGATGGGTACGATCCTCATTGCATAAACTGTTACAACGCGCAGGAGATTCTGACATTCAACCAGGTGCTTGATCTAACCTGGAGCCTGATATTCCATCTCATCTTAGTCGTTCAAGCTATTTGGTCTTAAAATTTAAGATAATAATAATAGTCCTTGCATTTGATACAGCGCCTTATCACGTCTTCGAGACGTCTCAAAGCGCTTCACAGAATATACTGTAAAGTGAATTGACTGTATATTTTATAGGCGAAGGATCAGCCAGAACTTTGGAAAAATTCAGTGTTAATTTTGAAGTTCTTGCAAAGAATCCAGCTTCTGATTTAGGATTGAATTTAAGAGCCTTCACACAATTCTGCCCGATCATAAATTTCTCGGCAAAATGGACTTGCAGGCTGAATCTCGAATGGAATTTTTGACTTAGATATATATCGCTGTAGAGAGAGAGAAATTCCAATTGAGTGCTGTGCTTCGGAATTATCTATCCCTTTTCAAATCTGTCGGAAAATATTCTGATTAGAAGGCAGTTGGCGTGAGTGTTTGGCCTGAAACAGGGCACTGAACAAAACTGAGGAGAAACCTTATTCCTTCTCTGTTCCCACTGATGTGGATCGCAAGCTCAGTCGTTGGAATATTGTTTTATGTTGCGTAGTAATAGGGCGACAATGCCTTGTCAGAAGTGCCGTCCTCCAGAACTCGGGTTCCATCTGCCTGTTTAGGTGAAAGTTGAGGAACTTCCGACTCTAATCGAAAAGAGAAGAGTTTTGCTTAGTGTCTTGATCAATGCCCCCTCCTCCCCTCCCCCACCTCTCTGTGTGGTCTAATCATTGCAGACAAAATTCTCCCAAAAGATCCGTGTTTTCTTCAGGAATAATGTTGTTGATCTCTTTCCAGATCGGATGAGTGGTGTTGCGTCCCTGATGAAGAAAAAGAAGCGCTATGTTCCCGAGTGGAGGACGGCGAGTTCTGGTAAAGCAGATTATCAATAATAATAATAATAATAATGATTCTTACATTTGGTGCAGCACTGTTCGCATCGGGAGGCTGTCCCAAAGCACTTCAAGATATACTGTAAAGTGCAATGAGTGTTTTGTGAGTGAACATGGCAGCCAATTCGCACACAGCAATGCTCCACAACCAGCCATGCAAATGAATGGCCAATTTTAATTGGGGATTGTTGGCCAGGACATTGGGAGAAACTCCCTTCTCTTTTTGAGTCGAGCCGTGGGATCATTAACACGTGCACATGAACAGCCAGGCGGGACGTGATTCAACATGAAATAACCTGCGGTAATTTACTAATTCAGCACGGTTTGCCCCACAATGTACCAATGTCTCGTTTGACAAGTTTTCAGCTGGATGTACAGTGGGGTGACCCATAACGTCATGATAACTACTTTATTATCTAAAAAAAATCCCCAAATATCATTATTTCTTTAAGACTTATTAGACATTGCGATGGTATTGCAACTTTTTGGTCACCCTGTACATAACTGAGATGTGCCCTTAGGTGCCTCTTGTTAAATCTACGATTTGGTCTTTCTATTGATATTTTGCTAACATTTTTATGAGCCATCCTTAGTTAACTCACTGAGCAAGTCACGGCCCTCGTTGAAAGTTAGAAAAACAGTTATGCAGTTGCCTTTGGGCTTTTTGTCATATATTCAATGTAGTATTATTACTAAATAATGCTATTATTTAAATTATTACTCATAATATTATTACTATTATTATTAAAACAACAATAAACAGTAGTAACCAGACCCGTGAAACAAAGAACGGAAAAAAGATGTGGACAAAACTGATAATAAATAACAATAATAATTAGATTAATACAAAAAAAATGCACAGGGTCCTGATATGTTATCACTTTTATTAGTTATAATGATTCCTACTGAATTAGAATCATCACTTTTGAATGATTATACTAATCCAGCCTCAATAATCACTTGCAATAATGAATTCCAAATCCTAACAAACCTCTGCATGAAAAAAATTGGTTGGACCACATTTGGAGAACTGTGTCCAATTCTGCTTGGCACACTACAAAAAGGATATAGATCTAAAAGAAAATTTAGGAAGAGCTTCTTCACACAGTGGGCAATGAGAATGTGGAACTCGCTGCCCATATTAGTGGTTGAAGCAGATGGCATTTAAGAGGAAGCTGGATATACATACGACGGAGAAGGGAATAGAAGGCTAGGGGGAGGCAGTAAAGAATGGAGACAAAACCATTGACACCAATTGGTTGGGTCTGTTTCCATGCGGTACATTGTGTAAATCCTGTGAAGCGCTTTGAGACGTCTCAACAATGTGATAAGGTGCTGTATTAAATGCAAGGATTATTATTATTATTATAAATCCATGTAAATCTGTAAAAGTTCCTTATAGCCTCCTCTCTGATTTTCCTGTTATTACTCCTGAGACTATGTCCCCTTCCACCAACTGAAGGAAATACTTTTTCCTCCTATTATTTATCTTACAGCCAATATCTGCTTGTCTTTCTGTCCCTCCTGATCTTGTTATCACTAATACAGCATGAAACACAGAAGGTTTGCCAGTGTTGGAGATTAGTTGTAGTAGTCTAAACCTCTTCTCCCTGTTTAATGTTTAATATAGACAACCTTTGCCCAATAATAGTTCCTGGTTGCTTCTGTTTGATTCAATTTCTCTCTCTCTCTCTCTCTGCTTGTTAGGATGTCATTTTCAGATTTTATGTTTCATTACTCCCGAGTGGAAATCTGTAACTTGACGCCAGATGTTCTGAGTGGAGACGAGATCATCAAATGGAACTTGAAACTCTTTGAGGGCACCTGGAGAAATGGATCTACCGCTGGAGGATGTCGAAACTATCCAGGTACAAGCTCCATCTTGGAAGCTGCCTTGTTGGCCTAAGTGTGGCACTAAGCCAATACCAACCAGAATATTGCGGCTTCGAACATTGTTGGCTTAGTTGATCTCAGCCATGTCAACAGGTGGGAGGGGACGCTACAATCAGATCATAAAAACATAAGAATTGCTAGACGAAAGAATCCCCAAAGAATAATAATAATAATCCTTACATTTGTTATAGAGTCTTATCACGTCTTCAAGACATTTCAAAGTCCTTCACGGAATATACTGTAAAATGAGTTGACTGTATATTTTGTGGTCTATTCAGTTCACTTTCCACCACCTGGACATTCGCATGTACACGTCATATCCCAAACTATATACTGTACCCCAAGATATTATTTCCTAACAGAAATCTAGCTCATTTGTTCTTGAAAGAATCGACTCTTTCTACTTCCAATTGGCCTCAATGCCCAGCACCCACTGGGACAGGAAGGTCAAAATCAGCCATGTTTTCTGCTAGTGATTCCTGCTAGAAAGTGTATGAGAAAGCCAGAGGTCTAAAATTCCTTGTGATTTCAGCCCCTGGCCCCAGTCCTTGCCAAACTCCACTCGCTCCCTGTCACACAACGGATCGACTTCGAGATCCTCATTCTAGTGTTTAAATTCCTCCACATCTTGACACACCCCGGGTGCTATATAAATGCAAATTGTTGTTGTTCCTATAATAATAATCCTTGCATTTGATACAGCGCCTTATCACATCTTCGAGACATCTCAAAGCGCTTCACAGGATGCAGTGTACAGTGTAGTGACTGTGTGTTTTGTAGGCGAAAGGGGGCAGCCAATTGAGCACAGCGATGTCCCACGAACGGTTGTGGATTGAGTGACCACATTATTATTATAACTGCCTGATCTGGTTCCAGCCACCTTTTGGGTAAACCCTCAGTTTAAGATCGAGCTGAGGGATACGGACGATGATCCTGATGACGAGGATAATCCGTGCAGCTTCCTGATCGGTTTGATCCAGAAGAATCGCAGGCCCAAGAGGAAGATGGGGCAAGACATGCTGACCATTGGCTTCGCTATCTATAAGGCAGGTATCGGGATGTTCGTGGGATTTTGTTACCTCGGGGTCTAAATGGCCCAATTCACAAAAGTATTGAAGGATTCGTGAACAGTAATGGAACTGGAACTTGGATGGGTCACCTTCACGGGTCACAACTTGAGATTGGTGATAATAATAATAATAATCCTTGCATTTGATATAGCGTCTTATCACATCATCGAGACGCCTCAAAGCGCTTCACAGAATATACTGTAAAGTGAACTGACTGTATATTTTGTGGGCAACTGAGCGGACTTCCTCTCTGAGAGTCAGTGGTGACTGACTGGCTGCTGTGTTTGATTGTATAATGTGTGCATTTCAAAGTAACACCGTATGAAGCACTTTGAGACACTGATAATCTGCTATGAGAGGGCAAATTATTTTATTCCGAGAGCCAAGGGTAGCTGTGATTCGGATAGTTTTGTGGGTCTTTTTAACCTCGTTGGAAAAGCTCCAGGTTTGAACTAAATTATCTTTTTCTTTTGATCCACAGGTCCCCGATGAGGTAGGTAGAACAGCGGAGATGTAGTCCTGCAAACACATTCACAAACTTTGGGGTGGTGGTATTTTTGAAACTCATCCTATTTCAGGATAATTCTCTTTAAACTGGGCCAGAGAATCTCTCCACATCACACCACAGGCAAGGGAGCTGGAAGATGGCTTGTGCCCAACTGGTGTATAGATCAGTGTGGTGGTGAGGGGGTTGGGTGGGAGGGGCAGGTGATTGATAGTCTCTTTTCACTGATCTCCACTCAGTGATTCCATAGAACATAACTGTCAGGGTCAAGCCCTCCACTGGTGGTAGTGGACCTGTGTCGCTGCAAGGCACTGAGATTTCCAGCTTGGCAGAACTTTTAAAGATCGTCTGAATCTGCCTCGTTTTGGGCTGAATTCATATGATGGGAAGAATTGGAGACCGGGTCGAGAGTGAGTCTTCAGAGATAATATTCTTTTAATTTTGTACATTGTGTAGGGAAGGTTGAGCCTTTCTGAATCACCTAACCTAACCGCTGCAAGAGTGGATGTTATATTGTTAAATTCAAGATAAAGCTTTTCCTGGAAGCCCAATCTATAATAGCTTTCCATCTCCTCAATGAACCACTGCAGAAAACTTGCTTGAGAAATATTATGTTTCCTACAAGTCTCTTGATCCGTCCTCCTACCCTTATATTATATGCCCCCATTATATTAACACAGACAAAACAAGGCAAGTTAAGACCATCTTTAACTATTAACATAGTCACTAATACTCAACAACAATTACCTGTGAAGTTCTTCATACAACAACAACTTATAATTATATTGCGTCTTTCATAACATAACATAACATAACATAACATAACATGTAGGAGCAAGAGTAGGTCATTCGGCCCTTCGAGCCCTCCCCGCCATTCAGTCATGGCTGATCTTCTAATCTAACTCCAGCTAATAGCATGACCCTGCCTTATCCCCATATCCCTTAATCCCTTTTCCAGTAAGAAATCTATCTATCTCAGTCTTAAATATGTTCAAGGACTGAGCGTCAACAGCTCTTTGGGGTAACGAGTTCCATATGGGGCAGCATTTCAAAGTGCTTTATAGGTACTATATTAAATGCAACAATGAATGGAGTCTCCTTAGATAAGTGTTGAAATTTTCATTCCCTATTAAACGTCCACTCGACCCAATCCTGACTCTAAAATGCCAGTTCACAACGTGAACCTCAATCAAGAAAGGGAATTGTAGTCAATTCCAAGGCAGTGTTGTTGCACATTGTGTTCTGCTTCTTCTCTTCCATCTTCAGTAGTCATAGTTCTGGCATCTGGTACAGCACCTCCAATGTCCGAAGTCTCAAAGTGCTTCACAGGTAACTGGTGTCAAGTGTAGCGATTATATTTGGAAGCAAATTAATCTGTCCATTCACCTCTCTTTTCAAAGATCTTTAACATCTGCTTGAACAAGCAAATAAACATCTCATCCAGAAAAATGATACCTCTGTCAATACAACAAAAACGATACTACTCTCACTCCGGAGAGAGAGTGAGCGAACTGAGTCTCAGTGGATGATATGGTTCCCGTCGTGAAGCCATGTCACCGTTAAGAGGAGGGCTGCCCATTTTGCCTGCTGCTAATTCTTTTCTGTTTGTGAGAGTAGTGTGCAGACCAAACGAATATTCACCTGAAGAGGGATTTCTTCATGAGGCACGCGTCCAAAGCTCGATCGAACACCTTCACCAACCTGCGAGAGGTCTCGAACCGACTGTCTCTCGAACCCGGAGATTACCTGATTGTCCCGTCCACCTTCGAACCCAACCAAAATGGAAACTTTGCCATCCGATTGTTTACAGAGAAGCAAGCTGGCGTGCAGTAAGTACCACCTGCAGAGAGGTGAGGGGTATAGGGGGGAATAGGCGTGAGCATTCAATGAGAAATATAAATTTTCAACACAGAAGGAGACGATTGATTCATGATACCTCTGTGTGTGTAAGTTGCTTTTATTTTTTTGATCAATGCCTCCTTCCTGCTCTTTCTCGACATCCACGACTGTCTGTGGGACGCTGCTGTGTGCAATTGGCTGCTGCGTTTCGCCCACAAAATATACGGTCGATTCACTTTACAGTATATTCTGTGAAGCACTTTGAGACGTCTCGAAGACGTGATAAGGTGCTATATCAAATGCAAAGACTATTACATTATCCCTCAATGTTTTTACTTCTCAGGTGCTTATCTGGGACCCCTTTTGATGATTCTATTGGCCCAAACATCGCAGTGAAGAGTAGTGGCACGGGGCTTGAGGAGGTTGAGCTTCTCTCAGTCGATAGCACTTCTGAGTTAGAGGTTGTGGGCTCATCAAGACTTTGAACTCACATTCCAGGGTGACAATTCCAGGGAGAGCGCTTCATTGTTGGAGGTGCCGTCCTTCAAATGAGACAATAAATCAAGGTCCCGTCTGCCTGTTCAGGTGGACATTAAAGATCCCGTGCCAACGTTCAAAGGAGAAGGGAGTTTCTTCCGGTCCCTGGCCAACAATCGTCCAGACACTCTTCCTTACATTTTGAGATAACTTGATCATTTACTTCATGGTTGTTTGTGGAAGATGGATGTGCACAAATTAACTATCATGTGTGCCTACAGATTCACAGTCACTACACTTGACATTAATTCCCTGTGGAACGCTTTGATGTTAATGTTGAGGGTGAGGGTATGCTTTGCGTTGGCACATTTCTCTTTTCACCTCTAGGGCTTGGGGTGCAGACTAGTCCAACCTTTGGAATAAAGGCCTCCTCTGTCTCTGGCTGTTGTGAAAAAGTTCTTTGTCAAATGAATGGAGTGAATTCACACCTGAACCCACAAAGGGGATTTGTGGCATTAAAAGCCGCCTTCCATGTAACTCCTACACTCTCATTGTGGAGGCCAGTTGTCTCTTGTGCGTCATTAGTTCTTGTTTTTCCATATAAAAACATCTCATCTAAAGGACAGCACCTCCAACAATGCAGTACTCCCCCAGCACTACATTGGAGCGTCAACCTAGACTATGAGCCCAAAGTCTTTGATGTGGTGCTTGAAACCCCAAAACTTCTGACTCAAAAGCATTCGAGCTAATCCACGCTGACACGTGTTTCTTTCCTCTACAGAGAGATGGATGATGAGGTTGATGCTCAACTGGATGATGAGCCACAGGTACAGGACTTTTAACTGTTTATTGTGATTTTGAGGTGGGGGACGTGAAGCAGGCCGTAGCCCACTGAGCGGAGGGAGCGGGCAGGGTGGTAGGGGGTTAGGAGGTCGCAGAGATCAGGGGGAGCAAGACCATGGAGGGCTTTGAAGGTGAGGACCAGGATCTTGAACTGTATCCTCTGTGTGATGGGAAGCCAGTGGAGTCGGGCGACGATGGGAGTGATAGGGTTGTGGAGCCTGGTGCGGGCGAGGACACGGGCTGTAGAGTGGTGGAGCCGGGTGCTGTTGTGGAGGTGGGGAAGGCAGAGTGGGACATGGCACGGATGTGGGGTAGAAAGGACAGTTGAGGGTCAAACAAGACGCCAAGGTTCTGGACTGGCTTAGTAAGGTGGAGTATGCAACCTTGGATGGTGATCAGGAGGCATATAGATATTGAAAAGGAGGGGACCAAGGACAGAGCCCTGAGGAACTCCACACGAGACGGTCCGGGGGCTAGAGGAGAAACCATTTGTGGAGATGAAGTGGAGAGGTACGATCTGAACCATTCAAGGACGTAACCGTGAAGCTTGAGGTGAGAGGCGAGGCGGTGGAGGAGGATAGAGTGGTCAACGGTGCAGAAGGCAGCAGAGAGGTCAGATTGAAACCTGTTATAAGTTACAACACGGGTTGGGATTTTTATGGATGTCGAATACTTCATTGCAACAAGGACTCACTACATCGTTTGCTGTTTTATGCCTCTTAAGAAATCAGCAATATGAACCTTGAGTTTAAATATTCATTGTTTATTTCTTTTGTGTTTGTAGATTGAAGAAGATGACATCAGTAGCAGTTTTGAGAATATGTTTGACCAGTTAGCTGGACAGGTGAGAAACTGCACTTCTTACTACAGACTCCCTTGGACAAGATGTCAGGCAAAGTCCCGTATTTGTGACTTCGGGTGGATGCCAAAGATCCCACCACAGGAGTGACACTGCTAGTTTTGTAATGATTGATGTCAGGAAGGCTAATGTTTTCCAGTTAGAGTGGGAAGTGTGGGAATTCTGTGGATGCAGAACAATAGTGTCCACCTTCTTCCTTTCAACCGGAGTCTTAGCTCCTCCAGGAACTAGCCGTCCCATGGGAACCCCACTCCAATGCAACCTGCTGACAGGGCAGGCAACCTATTTCGCCCACAAAACACACACAGTCACTACACTTTACAGTATATTCTGCGAAGCGCTTTGAGACGTCTCAAACACGTGATAAGGCGCTATATCAAATGCAAGGATTATTATTGACTGAGCAGATAATCTGCTAACTGAGCAGACGGAGTGTGGAGTCGTGTGGCGTATTTGTTAGAACACTCGCTTCTCAAGCAAGAGGACCTGGGTTTGACTCCCAGCTAAGGCGAAACTTTAGGCAAGTTTTCTTTCTCCACATGCCTCTATTTACCGAGCAATGAGTAGGAAGCCGGTTGTTAGTCGATTAGCGAATTGCTTTCCAGGTACAATAATCCATCCTTCCGCCCAAAGATTTGGTCATTCAATACAATGTGGCACACTGCTGTGACCCACCAATGTGCTCTGGCAAATTTTCCGGGGTGGAAATCCCTGTTTGAACTTTGTTTTTCTCCCCCACCTTCAGGACAGCGAAATTTCTGCCTTTGAACTGCAAAGAATACTGAACAAAATTCTAAGCCAACGTAAGTAAAGACAAAGCATGTTGATAGTTCCTGATTGGTGTCGTACAAGCAAAATGTAAGAGGGAAATATGTTTTATAGAAGAAAGTTTTGTACGTGAGAGTTCAAAATTCTTGTCCTCGCTTTAAAGCCCTCCGCAGCCTTGCTCCTTCCTAGCTCTGTGACCTACGAATGCCATATCAACCTGTCCACTCCCTCCTCTCAGCAGCCTGCTCCACATTCCCTGCACGGCCCGCCCCACCATCAGCGGTCAGGTCTCCAGCCTCTCTGCCCCCATCCTTTGGAACTCCATCCCACAATCCCTTCACCTTGCTCCTTTCCTTTCCTCCTTCAAGGCATGTCTCAAGACCCTCCTCTTCAACTGTGCCTTCGACCCTCTCCTACCCGAAGCCTCCCTGCCCTCCACCCCTTCTGATCCCAAACCCTGCTTGGGTCAAAATCCCTGAATGTCCAGGGCTTTGGGACGTCCGCCCGACCTGAAAGGCGCTGTAACAAATGTAATTTGTTGTGGTTGTTGGAAGAGATGAGTCAGCCCAGCACAGAGCAGATTTGTTGTATGCACCGTCCTAACCACTAACAAGGAATGATATTTGCCCTTTCAGGATCAGACCTTAGAAGCGATGGATTCTCCTTAGAAACCTGTCGAAATGTCGTCAGTCTCCTGGATGTATCCTTCGAATGAGCAAATCTGCAACATTTTTCTCCCCCACACCACCACCATCCAAGATAATCCTGACAAAAGTGTGGAAAATTCCACTGTAAAAACCCGACATACCGTACATCTTCCTCATCTCACTAAAGCCTAATAATGTCCTTGTATATATAACTGCACCCAGTCTTGCTCCATCACCACTGTGACAGCTGGCAGGTGGATCGACATTTGGTTCCCCCTCAGTACTCCTGGTATTTCCATTGGTGGAAACGTCGCTTGTTGCTTCCCCAGATGGCACAGCTCAGATCATGAAACCAACACCCTGAGAGAAAGTCATGTGTTGAGTATTGACCAGGGAGGGCTATGTGCTGGTGATGAACCGTGGGATGGATATGAGCGACTTGGGCCGACAGTTGCCTCCGTTCCAAAGGGAACACGTTGTGAACCTGCCCAGATAACATCAGCATCCTGCTAACTGGCAATCGAATCCATGACCTGGGCTTTAGAACAGTCAACAGTTGGGGGAATAGAAGAATCCGCCTTCGCACATTTTGGACCATTCGTGTTCAAAGATCTATGTTTGTAAGATAGACCCTGATATCTTTCATAAATGGACACCTCCTTCCAAAGGTACTTTTCTTAACAGAACCCCTTTGTAAAACAGAAAGACGGATCTGGCAAAATTGGATTGGTGGAATTCCGGATATTTTGGTCCAAAATACAGAAATATGTGGTAAGTAAAATTTCAGGCCAGCTGTTTTTGCCACTGAGGTGGAATGGGTAATGCAGGAAATTGGGAAATTTCCCCGAGTCTCCGCCCCCCCCCCCCACACCCCGTGAATCACCCACAGGTCTTTCTAAGAATGGCGGAAAATAGGATTCCAAAAGGAGGATTTTTCTAAATTCCTCATTATCTAACATTTTAAGTCAACGTACTTAAGTACTTAAGCTGTCAACCTGCCTCGGTTGGGAGCATTGCGTGCCTCCAAGTCAGAGGGTCGTGGGTTTAAGCCCTCAAGTCGGGGCTTCGAATTCATATCGTCTTAAACTGACACTGGAGACAGTGCTGGGGATGTGCTCCATTGTCGGAGGTGCTGTCCTTCAAATGAAACGTTAAATCGAGGCACCATCTGCCTGTTCAGGTGGACGTTAAAGATCCCATGGCACTAGTTAAAAAAAGAAGGCAGTTTCTCCTGGTGTCCTAGCCAGCAATCCCCAAATAAAACTGGCCATTCATTCCCTAGCTACTTATGGGACATTGCTGTGCACAAATTGACTGCCATGTTTGCCCCCAAAAAACAGTCACTTTATACTAAATTCTGTGAAGCACTTTGGGGCTTCCTCCTGGTGTGAAAGGGGCTATATCAGATGTAAGAATTATAATTATGTATTGTCAAGACTGTGAGAAGCTTCAGGCGGCAGAAATCATGGTGTATTAAGTTTAATTTTTCCCCCCACTTTCCACGTAGCACGTCTTCAAGCAGATGGATGCTGACGAGTCTGGTACCATGAGTGCATATGAGTTACGACTGTCTCTCCAGGAAATAGGTGAGGATTGCTCCGCAGTCTACTTGCACCATTCATCCAAACCTCAGGGAACTGCTTCCATGTTGATTCTTTGGAGGGGCATTTAAGAACTATCTGTTGTAACGTATTGGTTAGAGCACTTGTCTCGCAAGCAAGAGGACAGGGCAAAATGTTAGACAAGTTTTCTTACTCCAAACACCTCTGTTTACCTAGCAGTAAGTAGGAACCCACTTGTTAATCAATTGGCAGGTCACTTTTATGGGGGTAATAAATCCCTTCAGAATAAATGAATGAAATAATAATTTGGTGACTTGCTGTTTGTGGGGACGCTGCTGTGTGCAATTGGCTGCCACGTTTCACCCACAAAAATACAGTCAATTCACTGTACAGTGTATTCTGTGAAGCGCTTTGTGACGTCTCGAATGCAAGGATTATTATTATTATTATTGCCAATTTCAAATTCCTCATTTGCTCTGTATTGCAATCCTATTGCAAAGATATAATGAAAAGGCAGAAATGGCTGTAATAACAAAGAAAAAAAGGGGATAGTGAGATGCCCGAATTTTCAGATGTTATTTTTATTTTGAATTCTTGCGTATATTAGAATGCCTCACTGTTTAGCACAGGTTTGCTTAGAGCACAATATACCTGACCTACTGTTGTGCAAAGAAACTGATGTCATCAGTGACCAGAGGTCAGCCTTTTTTTTTCATGATAACATTGACAACAACAAAACATTTACATTATATGACGCCTTTTTCGTTGGGAAGACAGTCAGGGATTTGCACCCGAGCTGGTGGTTGGGAGCATGAGGGATGGAGGGTGGGAGTAGGAGGGTGACCGAAGGTGCAGTCCAAGAGGAAGCTTTTGAGACAGGCCTTGAAGGAGGAAAGGGAGGCGAAGGGCAGGTTGGAATTCCAGCGGGGTGGGGGCGCGGGCAGAAAGACTGAAGGCCCGACTGCTGATGGAGGGGCTCTCAGGGTGGGTGACGTCTAGCAGGCCAAAGTCCATCAAGCAGAGGGAACGGACAGCCCGATATGGGGTTAGTTGCTCACAGAGGTAAGGAGGAACAAGGCCGTGGAGGGCTTTGAAAGTGAGGTATGACCTCTGAGCTACATGACCCAGATGGCCCTATGATAACGGGTTACTCTGTCATTCAGCGACTAGCTTTAATATCGCAGTAATATCACACTAAGCTGACATTTGAGTAGCTTTATCATTGCAATATCAATGTTTTCGCTACATCTCAGTGCGTGGCCTGAAATGACGCAGACCAGGAGACTCCATAAGCCCTGCCATAGAAAATAAAACACAGTCGAGGGTTTTAGAAGTTACAGAGAGAATTTAGCTCTGCGCAGAAATCCACAAGAACTGTCTGATACGTTTTTTTTTCCCCTCCAGGTTTCAATCTGAACAATCATTTGGTTCAGATCCTCATTGCCCGATACGCAGACAATAATTTGGAGATCGACTTCGATAACTTTGTTGGATGTTTGGTCCGCTTGGAAACCATGTTCAGTGAGTTTCAAGCTAAATGTCTTCTGTGGAAAGGAATACTCGTCCCAGGCTGCAAGCCTTTGCATCCCAGCATTTCTTCATGCGATCCGGGGCTTAAAATTCAATGTGATCCTCAGCCTGGGAGAACATTTTTGTGTTAAGAAGGTTGTATAAATCTTGGAAAATATCTTAAATTCAGTTAGAAGGCACTACTGAGGATGGCACAGCCCAGCCTGGCTCATCAGCAGGACTTAGAGGGCAGACTAGTCACCGAGGGCAGTGAGATTTTTTCCCACTGAGCTCCTGTTAACCCTACAAGCCAAAGCCCTCACCGGTAGCATGGTCCTATCTGGACAAGCAGTGGGAAAGCTGACCAGATACTGCTATCAATGCCAAGCTGTGTGGTTTTAGCTGGTTAGACTCCAGCAGTTACCCCAACACACACTCCGGGTTCCCTAAGCTTCGACTCTTGCCAACCTGCGCCCAATATACTCTCTGGAATTGGGTAAGCAGGATGCATCCCTCCAGGGAGAGGGTTAAAATTCCATTAAGATAAATATCTCTGGAATTTCTGTGTATAGATGGGATGCGTGGATCACTGCTTGGTTTGGATACTCTTAAGATTTGAAAAAATCAACATACAGTAGTGGCAATTCTGTTTGTTTCTAACTTACTTCATGTTGCTTTTGCTTTTTTCAGGAATATTCAAATTATTAGACGAAGGAGGGGAAGGAACCGTGCAGCTTGATATTGTTCAGGTATATAAAGCACTTTGAGATGTTTGTTTTATTGTGAAAGGCACTATATGTAAATGTGAGTTGTATATAATTACTGCTGTAGCACAGAAGGCAATGGACAATGTTTGAAATCAATTTCCTTCTTCGTCTTAAAATAGATAAAAGAACTGGCTGTTTAATCCAAAGGCGGGTACTGGCATTTATGGGTCAACAATAACACAAACTCAGGCCCCTAACCAAAATATAACAAACATTTATAGTATGTGGATGTAGTTGGTTAGATGATGAATACAGTGCATTACATTACTCCATTATTGCACAATTATACTAATACGCATGCAGAGTCTTGTAGCGTAGTGGTTAGAGCACATGCTTCGCAAGCGAGAGGACCTGGGTTCGATTCCCGGCAGGGCAAAACTTTGGGCAAGTTTCCTTACTCCACACGCCTCTGTTTACCGAGCAGTAAATGGGAACTTGGTTGTTAGCCAATTAGCAGATCTTTTATCCGGGGGTAGTAAACCCTTCAAAAAAATCAAAATAATAATTTGATCAATCAATCACCGTTGCGTGCAATTGGCTGCTGCGTTTCGCCCACAAAATGCAGTTAATTCAATTTACAATGCATTCTGTGAAGCACTTTGAGACGTCTTGAAGACGTGATAAGGCGCTATATCAAATGCAAAGATTATTATTCATAGTAGGGTACTGTACTATTAGTGTAATACTCTAATTACAGTTGTGTAATTGTACTGTAATGCAGTAATATAATGCACTGTATTCATCATCTAATCCACATAGATGTTCTCAGTTGTTAGAAATACAGTGTTGAGAGGAGTTGTGAGTTAGGAGCATTAAGGTGATAAATAGTATAATAAACAGAACACAGGGTGTTCAGAGAAGTCCAGGAGTTTGGGCAGGGGATCAATGAATAGAGCACACTGTAATAGTTAACTGTAGGTACTTTGAAAGTCTTTCCAGAGCTTTTCATTCACAACAGTTTTTTTTGTGCAATTGCGTGGTAGAAGCCTATGGTTCTTTCATTGTAGTCAAATACTTTGACATGTTATTTTGGCCTTTTGAACTTTGGTATAGTTGAAGCAAAGTCATTATCCAGCTAAGTGCCGTGCAGCAAAGTTTTTTTAAAAAAAAAACAGCTCTAATTACTACTGTCTCTTCCACTCATCAGAAAATATGTAGTCGATTCACTTGACAGTATATTGTGTGAAGCACTTTGAGATCCCGGGATCCGTTACTGTAAAGTGCTCTGAGACGCCGTCCGGCACGGAGGGCACTATATAAGTCCAAGTTGTTGTTATAGATGTCTTGAATATGCTATATCAAAAGCAAAGATTATTATTATTATCATCATCACAAACCTTGGTGCAAATTGAACCATTTTGTGAAAAGCCCGGCTGAGTTAACCGGTAAAATACTGATCACCTCCTTTTTCTGTCAACAGTGGCTGACTCTGGTCTTCAATTGAAGAATCGCTATGAGACTCTGAGAAGATTTTTTTCACCAAAGTAACAAATAACCAGGAGATGCTAAGGGATTGTTGATTTTGTGTTTTTATGTGCTTATTGCGAGTGCTGAAATGAGGGTGTTAGGGACCTTTTGAATGTTAGAATGAGGGACAAGGTTTTACATATTAGTTATACTGTGTTACAGTTCTATCCTTTACTGAATTGCAAATACAATTGCAAGTAAAGTCCCAGTTTACCAGACTCCGAGGATTTGGAATTTGAACCGAGCTCCACTTAGCCAGAAAACAAAAAACAGTTGTCAAAAGTTTCCGTGGGACCACATGGAGCCCTGTAGGCTATTGGTTAGAGCGCTCGCCTCGCAAGCGAGAGGACCTGGGTTTGATTCCCGGGCAGGGCCAAAAGTTAGGCAAGTTTCCTTACTCCGCACACACGCCTCTGTTGTTAGTCGATTGATGTATCCCTTTTCCGGGGGTCATAATCCCGTCACAAAAAATAATAATTTGGTCACTCAATCCACGACTGTTTGTGGGACGCTGCTGTGCGCAATTGGCTGCCGGGTTTCGCCCACAAATTATAAAGTATATTCTATGAAGCACTTTGAGACGTCTTGAAGGCATGATAAGGAACTATATCAAATGCAGGGATTATTAGACTCCTAACAACTCTCCTAGCAGGCACTAACGCTGTGCTGAGGAGCCCATGTGATCCCACAACTTCCTCAGTCACCAGCCTGTCATCTGCTGCCCACATGGGTCTCTACTTGCTGGTTTACAGCAGTAGAAATTCATATGCAGGGCCATAAAATGCCAGGAAATGCATTAACCAGCATTATATATCCTTTTGTTTTTGCATTACCGGCATTGTAATACTCTTAGCTGGAAATTCCAGCTCTGGACTGGACCTTCTTCCCCCCCCCACCCCCACCCCATTAGTCTGGGTAGCTGGGATTTATCTGGAATGCAAGTGATTTAACTGTGTACATGTATGTTGCATTGGGTATGAAACACGAGTGTTTCATACCCAATGCAAAGTCTGAGGTGTCAAATGCTCTTGATAGGTTTTGTACAGAAGTAATAGTGCGATAACTTAAATTTATGAGACGCTATCCTGCACTGCGGAAAGAAATCCCTTCCAAGCCCCCGCAAAAAAAGGCACTAAAATGGTATTTCCACAATAGCATGCGGATAAATTCAGGCCACAATAGAATAGGGTTTTTGTCGAGCCTGCACAGAAAATACAAGTACACAGATTTATAGTGAAACAAGGTTGTTTGGTGTTTGTCAACATTGCAAAATTTATATTGTAACTGGAGAGAGATCTTCCAACTAGAAGGCACTTGCTTTGAATTCGATTGTTAAAGGGATTATGCTGTTACAGACCAATGTGGATTCTTTTACTGGTTGGATAACCAGTCACAATATCTTGGTAGGGGAAACAAATACTGGCTTACGGTTTTTTGCCCAAGGCTCTGGTCAGCTGTGGGAGAGGGGAGTTTTGACAACTTGTGATATGATTTATAATAAAGGGCTTGAATTTAAAGTCAGAATTACCTGAACGTGCTGGGGAGAGAAAAAAAATGTATCTGCAAATAAAATACTATCTTGGTGAGTGAGTTTTGTTTCGCTTCTTTTGAGGTCTACCTTGTAAAAACTGATTCTAAATACAAATAACTGGACAATACTGATTAAGCATAATCTGGAGGTGTCATTGCATCTCAAATACAGCACAAGTTTACTGACTTGACCAACTCCAGACTTGACTTCAAACAACCTGCTCCCCAGCCTTCACTGTTCTCCTCACAAGCTCCAGATCATCCACAATTCAGCATTATTTTTACACACAAGTTTCCACAAGTCCAAATTCATGATTTTTTTTTGTTAGTCGTTTTGGATTTCTCGAATAGCATTCTTGTATCAAATACCAAGAGTTTATTTTCCAGTGACATAACCAAGATCCCCTATGCACCAATAATAATAATAATAATCCTTGCATTTGATATAGTGCTTTTCACGTCGGGAGGACGTCCCAAAGCGCTTCACAGAACACACTGTAAAGTGAATTGACTGTATATTTGTGGGCGAACGCGGCAGCCAATTGCGCACAGCAGTGTCCCACAAACAGTCGTAGATTGAAAATGACCAATTTCTTATTGTTTTGGGTTTTGGAGGGATTATTATTAGGCTCTGTGTGGAGTAAGGAAACTTGCCCAAGGTTTCGCCCTCTGCCTGGAATTGAACTCAGGTCTCTCGCTTGCAAAGCGAGTGCTCTAACCACTGAGCTACAGGACTCCAAAGGCTCAAAACCTTCACACACTGCATGCGGCATCACAACCAGCGCAACCACAGATGTACATGTGTGGATTATCTCATTCGCATTAATTAATAATTATTAATATAATCAAAACCTTAGGGAAGTTTCCTTACTCCGCACACCTGTTTACCAAGCAGCAAGTAGGAACCTGGTTGTTAGTCGATTGGCAGATCACTTTCTGGTGGTAATTTTCCCTTCAATAAATAATAATTTGGAGCACGACTGTAGTGGGACACTGCTGTGAGAATTGGCTGCCATGTTTCACCCACAAAATATACAGTCAATTTACTTTAGTTTATTCTGTGAAGCGGTTTGAGACGTCTCAATGACATGATAGGGTCTATATCAAATGAAAGGATAATTATTATTGTACATTGGTATGTGCATGCAACCACTATGAAGGTGGAAGGCAAACTAGAAGGACATTGGTCTTCTTTTCTTCTAGCAATTCTTATGAACTGCCTAACCCAAAACAACCCAGATCAGCTTGTCCTTACCTTCAAATGAAAAAAATGCAAGGATTATTTTAAATGCCTCGAAGACCACCACCCCGACATTACCTCTGCGATCTCTTGCAATTCTCCTCTCCACTCTGGAATACTCTCCTGAAATTTCACCACCTTCCTCCCTCCATCTCCGCTTTCAAAATTTGCCTATTATCCCATCTCTTTGGCTGCACTATCAGATATCTTCTCCCACCTCATGCTCCCACTGTCTCTGTAAAACAAGACAGGTCTTCTTGGCGAAAGGAGCTGCAAGATATAGCACTACTCAGTGCATAGAGGCATATAGCTTCACACAACCCAGCAAGCATGAGCATATAAGGTTCGAAACTTCACATTGCGCAAATAGACTGCAAAATATATTGAATGCATTGCAATCTAGCCAGTTTGTTGGGGGTATATCAAGGGATTATTACCCAATTTGTTCCTGAACACTCATACCCGGCGTAGAGTTCTAAAGCCATTCACCGATTCTTCGTATATAAACCTAGCCTTTGGTGTATGTATCTCACAGCGTTAGCATTTTCTCCATACTGTCATCACTTCAAAAATCCTACCTTTCAACGCTCTCCCTTAATCACAGCATAAACAAGTTGGGCACTCCCAGAGAACTGTGCCATATCAAGATGATGTTCACATAGTCAATTACCCCAGGACCGATCACACCAGTTCTAGCCAGGCTCCGTTGGCTCCCTATCGCTGAACAGATCAATTTAAAGATCCTCAGCCACGTTTTCAAATCCCTTCATACCCTAGTATCTCCATAAGACTCCAACCTGCTTATCCGCCAACCGACTGCTTGACTGGCTCCGGCATCTCTCTCATGCCCTCCGTTTGACCATTGGTGGCTGCACTTTCAGCCACTGTGCCCCAAAACTCTGGAATACTCTTCCTCCATCTCTCCACCTTGTCCAGCTTCAGGTCACGCCTGAAGGCCTTTATATTCGACTGTGCCTACAGCCACTTCCACCTCCCCCACCCCACCCCCCCGCTTGGGTTTCATGCTCCGCCACTGTCAAGCGCTCTGGGACGCTACCCTGTTTCAGAGGCGCTATAAAAATGCAAGTTGTTGTTGATTACGTTGTTCAGACAGATACAAAATTATCTGCAGGGATGTGGGGAGGGGATGAGGGGGAAAAGGAGGTATTAAGTTAGCTTTGCAATAAAGATCAGGAAAATAGAGAAATATCTAAGCACACACAGTTGGGGTTTGCAGACTTTAATTTCAGGAGACTGACAAATTGTACAGTTCAGTAAAATGGTTAGTAATTGAACAGTATATTTTCATTTATTACCGTTTATTCAAGTTAGGTTTTCCTTTGAACCCTCACTGACTTCTACACGAGGTTTTTTTTTAAAAAGGTTATTCATTTTATACCAAAACAGACAAGAGGGAATACAAATAAATATTCATGGTAGTTTTTGTAATATAGATTCTACACCAACTAAATTTAAATCAAGTTTAACACTGGTCTATACACAAAAGAAAACATTTAGTGACTGGCAAACACAGTGGCAGGTAACACATGTATACACACTAGAGAGAACTTACTATTTATGCTACAATTAAAACAGAACGTTTAGTAATCTACTAGTATCTACTACTATGAAATCCTACCAGCTGCTCAGGCAAGTTCTCAATTTGCCCATTGTTTGGGCAGGAGTATGCACTTTTTCTTTTAAAAAAAAGAAAGGCAAATTTCAGCACCTTTCTATAAGTTGAAAGGCTAGTCAATGGAGAACACGAGTCGAACCATTTCACTCTCTCCCATAAGAAGGGCTTTTCTGGGCACCATATGGTAAGTGTAAATTGTGTGTTCAGAAAAGGGGATATTAATAGTCATTCCCACCTGTAACCAGACCATCAAACTATCAGTTTCCAAAGCAGAAATAATGTACAGCGATGGACATCTGGTTACTGGGTGAATCCCTATTTGCAATCCGGTTACAAATTTCAGATCCCATATGGTCTTTCAACTAATGCATTTCAGTATTGAGTGGTAGGACTAAATTAAGGAGTAACAACAGAACAAAGCATATGCAATTTTGAGCATTTTTAAACACAGGGTAAAAATGTTATCTGTAGGGACCACCCCCCAATATGAAAAACTTTTCCCAATAGCCTTATGAACTCCCTGAATGTATACATTTTTCATACAATATACATTGGACAGAAAAAGGTGAAAAATAGTTCTTTGATTTCAACTCTAATCAATTGGATTTTTAAAAAAAATTGTAGGTTTTATGGGAAGGTTTGAAGGTGGGAAAACATCGACTTTTGTACTGAAACACCTCCAGTTACCTTTCCCGAAAGCAACTAATCCACCAATAGTTGCACCAAAGTTGTAAAAAGTTAGCACCTACAGTAACCGAGCATGCAAGTGCAAGTTAGCGGTTAATGCACCTCAAAGATGGTGCAGTTACACATCCTCCCCACCATACAGCACTCTCTGATCATTCAATACAAAATTTAACTTGTGCTTTTAACCCCTTCTGAAGACATCCTCATCAAAACACGCTTCAATTTATTCGTATGCAAAAATAAATTGCTGTACATTCCTGTCAAAGTAAATGCAAGAAACATACTAAACCAAACCGGTCTCACTTCACTGTATTCTTGGAATACACTAAATGCAGATCTCCTGCTTTTCATTCTGATGCTCAAATATCAACTCTCCCAAAGGGTCAGTAATTAAAGGGCATTACAAGTAATGCCAATGGTTCACACACTTGTTAAACTGAAAAAATAATCTGCACCGGGAGATGGACTTTAAGACAGACAGCTCCAATGTAAGACAGCTTTACGTTGCAGTGTGTAACCGGGCATCAGTAAACATTATTGGAATTAACACTTTAAATCCACCAAGTGACACAAGTTAGTAATTCACAAAAAAATTCTCCTGCTTTGATGGTACAGTGTAAATTGTGAGAGTTGTGATTACTTTCTTCAGACCTTCTTATTCCAAGAACATGAACCCACTGAAGTACCAACACCAGTTTAAGTTAGCTGAAGGAAACACAAAGCATATATCTCTTCAGCAGTGCAATTCAAGATGTTTGCTGAAACAGAATAGGATGAACAATTTAATAACAAATCAAACTATGGCCCGACACACAACCGATCACTAATTTCAGGTTTAGAAGGGAAGAGGTCCAGAAGGCAATAGTTTGGGGAATGTTCCGAAAGATGGGAGCGTTTCAGATAATTAACACAATTAATTATTAATTAATTAGGCAGTTAACTAAAAGGAATTCAGGTGTCACAGATTTCCAGTCCTGAGCTTTCATTGTAGATACAGCTTGCAAAACAGAACTTTGATTAAAAATTAACAATATCACCCAACTCTGGGTTATTTATGATAATGAATAAATTTACCAGTTGTACACCTGCTAAATGCTCAACACGTTTGATAAGGTAACTGGCCAGTTCACTCTTAGGAGTCCTTTCAGACAAGTATTCTCAAACCAACACTCTCCATCCAATCCTGAGATCAAAGCTGGTGGGAATCGAATCACTCGAGACATTGCAGCCTTGAGATTACCAGCAACAATGTGGGAAAAACGGGTATAGTTTCAACATTACTGCAATGGGTTTTCACTTTTAAATCAATGTAGTGAATTTATTACGACTGGAATGAAATCATTCTTATTGTGTTCCTACTTCAATTTTGTATTTTTCACCCCATTTCCTCACACAAAGGCACTTCATAAAACGGTATGAGAAAACTCAGCGTAATAAAAATCCTTTCCAAAGGACATGTCAAATCTGAAGCTGGCGTTCACCAACCATTGACACTATCTCACCTGCCAAATGTACATTGGTTACATAACAATCAGCGTAGTTTAGATCTAGAGGACTGTTACCCAAACAATCTTACTGTGTAAGCAAAAACTAAACTTCAGCAATACATAAGGAGTCTACAATAATGGCCACAGTATATCAGGATTTGCATTTCAAATCACTTCTATGAAACATTCAATAACATGCACATAAAAGCTTAACATAAAACATCTTGCAGCTAGAAGACCATATTTATTTTTGCCACCACACAAGTGGACGTTTTGGAATGGTCTATAAGGTGCAGGAAGTTAGTCCAAGGTAAGATGCTGGAACTGAGCTCATCATTTTGTACCTTTCTTAAAAAGCTCAAGGGACTATTTTCTGTAAAGTTGCAAGATGTGTCAAATAAGGTAATAAGAGGTGAAATTCTTTGTTAAAATGCCATTATGTAGCCTGCAGTGAACCAACCGTGTGCCATCAGTGAGCATTAAGAATCAGCATGTATAGGACCAGATAAGTGAGTGTGTGCGTTGCTTATATAAAATGGGCACAATGGAAAAACATAAACTTAGCTATATCGTTAATTAGGCCATTGATTTAACACAATGCTTTAAACAACATTTGCCTCCCTTCATAGATCTGCGTCTCACAGATCAAGAGGTCCAGGTCACCTGCATAAAAAGGCTCCCAGTAAAAGTAAGATGAATTTAATGATGCCATCACATAAACAAAGAGATAAAGCAATCAAACAGGCAACATGGTCCCTAGATATTCAAGCACAAGCTTCGTGTTAAGCAAAAATAGTAAAACAAAACAAATACTAGACTTGATTCCAAAAAGTAACGTGTTGGTAGGGAGAAAACAGCCTTTTTAAAAAAAATCTGTGCTTTATATTAAGGCCCCTTAAGTTTTCTGAACCTGCATTAACAAAGTCATTTAGGATATAGTAAAATAAACAATTCTTTAACAAAAACTTAAATTCACCATTTATATTTGGTGGTTAACACTGAACAAAAATGATTCACTTCATTAGAGAAGCTTTCTTCATATCAGTTAGATCTTCCTTCATTTTCTTCTGGACACAAGCATGTTACTGCAGTCAGACATTCTGTTGGGAGTTGAACTGCTATAACTACTGACATAGTGGTGTGCATTTAGAGTTCATATCTGTAGTATTTTCCACAGGCAGGTATGTACATTCTACGCCAGGCTTCTCTGTCTTGGTTTAATTCTTGGGTAAAGCTGTAAAACAGAAAGCTAATTGTGAGCTTTAAGATTCCATATATCCAGAATAAACAATGGATTTTACTTCAAGAGGTGCTGCAAAGGCTCAAATAGATAGAACAGGCTCGAGGACTAAATGGCCTACTCCTGTTCCTACCATTCTGCTACATCATGGGTGATCTACACCTCAACTCTATTGAATTGAGAAAGAGAAGGGGGAAAAAACGAAAAAGCTTCTGGTATTACCTAAGCAGCTTTGAAAGCAAGCATAAGTGGAATATCATAGAATCATAGAAAGAAGCCATCTGGCTCATCGTGCCTATGATGGCTCTTTCGAAGAGCTATTCAAGTAGTCCCACTCCCCCGCTCTTATCCCACAGGCCTGCTATTTTTTTTATTGAAAGCTACTACCGAATCTGCTTCATTTACATCAGGTAAAGGCGGGATCAAATTCAATCATAATGCTCCTCGCTAATGCCATATTAGTTCTGTGAAAATACCTACCCCAAGCAAGTTCCGTGGTACATATCCTTCCCCATCATTTAACCGGGCCCACCACCACTCAATCTCATCTTCATCTTCACGTCGGATGGTGGACATACAATCACCTTCTTTAAAAGATAACTCATCTTCATTCTGAGCTTCATTGTCCCACAGTCCATACACAATCCCTCTGTTCATTATACCCATCTTCTCCTGCACACCTGTGGAGAAAAGGACACTGAACATAAATGCCAAAATTCTCTCTCTGTTTTGGTCCAGCAGACAATGATCAAAACACTTTATGCAGTTAATGCAAATTGATCAGTTCATGGGTGCAGAACAATGCTGAGTAGCTTAAGCAAACAAAATTTCTGAAACCATTAATGTTACAGCGATATCATAATAATGCTTGCATTTGATATAGCGCTTTTTACGTCTTCTAGACATCTCAAAGCGCTTCACAGAATAAACTTTAAAGTGATATCTCTTTCTACAGGGTAACCAAAAAGTCGTGACAACTACCATATTATCTAATGCATTGCAGCATTAATAAGTACAGGTTCAGCATGGGGTAAATACAATTTACACCCACACGGGTCCACAGAATTTATTTTTAAGCCAGGGGCTTTTACTGCGTTTATCTGCTAAAGTCAGCAGCATTGCACCAAAAGCATACAATTTCTTATCAGATCTACAAAATCTCAGGACCATCTATTAAATACTGTGGTAATGTGCATACCATATAAGAACTGAGAACACTGAATGTATCCCTCCTCCATCTCCTCACATTTATCAGCGGCTGTCTGCAAATCACTATAGGTGGTAGCAAACACTGCAGCTCCAGATTCAACAAGGAACTTGCAAACCTGCACATTATTACACGAAGCTGCACAATGCAAGGGGGTCCTGAGGGGAAAATAAATGATAATTAGAAGAAGCTTAACCACCATCCACACAAGCAAGAAGAAGCTACTTTCAGCATTATTTTAATGTTAAGCCCATCAATAATTCTATGCACATTCCCCTTTCTTGTATTATACATATTTATTAAATACGATATATATCCAAGCTTAATTAAAATAATAGTCCTTGCATTTGATATAGCGCCTTATCATGTCTTCGAGACGTCTCAAAGCGCTTCACAGAATATACTGTAAAGTAAATTGACTCTATTTTGTGGGCGAAATTAAGTACCATAAGAAATGGAAAAACCAGTAGCTGATCAGTGGAACACGATATTTCCATGATATTCACAAAGGGTCCGCATTCCCAGTCTCAAGTGACATTTGATCTAGACCGGCGTCATTAATAAATTTACCCCACTAGATGGAGCACTGCATCGCAGGAGCACAAGCCGGGCAGTAGTAGGAGTAGAAGCTGCCATACTGTAATGGTACAATAACCTGGACACTAAGAATGCAGCTAATGTTTTCAGCAATGCCCACTTTTTGTTTTCCTACATTAACACGATGTACATAGATAAAATTACTGCACTAGTTTACTTCAATGAAAAAGGTTCATGTGCATATTTCAGAAAATACTTGATCAATATCAAGACTAAATTTCAGTGTACAGTGAAACCAGTTACAGAAACCATCTACTGTTATGGCCATCTAACATGATTCTCAAACAGAAATTCAATTAATGAGATTAGAATCTGCCTGAGGTCAATCCCAAAGGTAACCAGACAGATTTCACAGTATAGTCAATGAAGCATTGAAGACCTCCATGCATTTCTCCTAACAGCTTGCTATCTGGCACAAGAGAAAAACATGACTTGTGCAGATGTTTCAAGAAACATAACACGCACTTTTGAAAGCAGCAGCTTTAAAGTGCATTCAGTGCTTGAGGGCGTATTCTCCTTTATGCTATGTATTTATTTATAAATAAATTAGAAACTGAGGCACTTAGCGCAGGATATCGCTAAGATTTAAGTGAAAAGCAGCAAAGAAGATGACACTAAGCAGTTAGGCAATTCCAAGGTTGGGATTTGAAAGACAGCAGATTCTGAAGAGAAAGGGAGAGAGATGTTTGCAGTTGAAGTCCTTAGCATGATAATAGGAAACAGTGATAAATTGTGTGATAAAGGACTATCCTCCTGGGAGGGAGTGGGGGAGGAAGTTAAGTGGAACCTCCTTGGAAGTGAACAGGCTCTAAGGTTGACACGCTTGGCAATGAAATGTGGGATTTGAGTCAACCCTCTATGGCGGTCTCAGTAGTCTGGTTTCTGAACCAGGGAAATCCACAGTACTCCAGAGCCCTATTGACTCCAGGACTCCCGGAGTCCTGTAGCTCACTGGTTAGAGCACTCACTTTGCAAGCGAGAGACCTGAGTTCAATTCCAGGCAGAGGGCGAAACCTCGGGCAAGTTTCCTTACTCCACACAGAGCCTAATAATAATCCCTCCAAAACAATAATAAATTGTTCATTTTCAATCCACGACTGTCTGTGGGACACTGCTGTGCGCAATTGGCTGCCGCGTTCGCCCACAAATATACAGTCAATTCACTTTACAGTGTGTTCTGTGAAGAGCTTTGGGACGTCCTCTCGATGTGAAAAGCGCGATATCAAATGCAAGGATTATTATTATTATTATTGACAGTAGACTAGACAGCTTGATTCATCGATAGGATTTGGATGGGCCAGGATTCAAATCCTGAGCAGGAAGGGAGCCTCTCAATTTATATTTTGTTAGCCAACCCAGATTGCCACGGAACTGCTAGGAACAAGGATTTGCATAAAATGAGAAGGTGTGGCAGGGGGTTTGGATACTTCTCAATGGCAAAGTAACTCATTGCAGGATATGAAAATTATAAAGGTGTACAGCACAGGCAACAGCACTGGCAAACCTTATTCAGTCATGCACCTAGAACTCTGAAACCAAAATGTGACTAATCCAGGTTGCTGTTTATATTTTCAACTTACCATCCATCACTATCAGCTGCATTAACATTTACTCCAAATTGCACTAGGAATTTCACAATTTCAGTGTGGCCTGCACAGACAGCGTTATGTAGTGCTGTGATTCCTTCATCATTTGGTTGACTGGGATCCTCCACCTACAAAGCACAACAGTATATTACAATATGCAGTATACATGCCTTTAACGCATTGAAATACATAAACTAGGTTGAAACAACCTTTCTGTCAACATCCACTAGACCATTTCCCACTTATTTTTTGAGTAACAGGTAAAAAAAACTGCCATCTTCTGAAATCGAGGTCTCACACAGTCAGGATTTTTTAAGCATAACTAAATTGGTGTGCAATATAATTAATTATTTCCACAAGTAAAAGCTTCAGCATTTCAAATATGAGTCGCTTGACAAACATCTAGTCCTGGATAAGCACCAACTTTCTGCAGCTCCCATCAATGTCTTCTCCCCTACGACTCTGACCTCCTTAACATCGCTAGCCGACCTCTTAGACTTACTGAACCTGTAAGGTACCTAGCCCACATCCAGTCCTTGACCAGGAATGCTTTCCTCCACTGCGCGCCTCGGTCCTTACCTCACACCCAACATAGCCCAAATCTATCCATCACCTCCTGTCTCGATTATTTCAATGCCCTCCTCACTGGCTCCACTGTTCATAAAATCCAATTGATTGAAGACCCCTTTGCTATATTGTCACCTGCACCAAACTCTGTTCCCCCATTATCCCAGTACTTGCCAGGCTTTACTGGCAAGTGAATTCAATTGCAGAACAGATTGAATTCAAGTTTCTCACATTGGTATACAAATCAATCCATGCCCTGGCACCTCCCTACTTCCTGCTTACTCTGTGTTGGAGCTCAGCTGGCTCCATCCTTTTGTACTTCCCTCAACCCCTCTGCTCCATTGTCGGTGGCTATGCTTTCAACCAAAATACCCCGTAACCATGGAACTCTCTGCCTCAACCCCTCTGTCTTGCCAGTCTTCAGATCACACCTGAAGACCTTCCTCTTCAAGTTTCGCAAAAGGAGATTATCTACCTCATAAATGATACGTTGGACTAAATCATATTCGCCTTCTAGAGAAGAATCCAGCAGCAGAGCAAGAGGATTGAACTTCACCCTCATCCCATGACCTATGCGCTCGGAGCCATCTTTCTTCAAGTTTGTTCTTTTTCCCTAAATAAAAGGGAACAAAATGAAAATAAGCATAAGAGATAAATTGCTCATCTGGAAATGAACAGCGCTGTTAGAAGAGGATTTCAAGTATAGTGCACAATAAAAAAAATTACATGAAATGAACAAAGATGGTATGGAAAGTCAGAGTGCAGTCATTTAGAGAAAATTCACAATGGCATAGAAAACGTCAATATAAATTTTACTGACAATAAGGAATCTTACTGTTTAGTAGTGCTGCGATCTGCTTAAATGTTGGGTCATTCTGTCAATTACAAGGACTTATATATAACTACAAAGACAGTTATAAGACCCATTCAATGCATAGTGTAAACTTAACGTGGTAGAAACATTGGACTGAGTTACGAGTGGATCCAAAGCCACCTGACCTCTCCCCCCACCACAGGAATATTTCCTGCAACACTGGCTGAGGAAGCAAGTCCCAGCAGCATGTTAAATATAAGCACTACTTGTTGAACAGAAAAAGTACTTAAGAGTGAAAGATACTTCATGTGGGGTTTTACCCACCAGTACTTTTTCCAACTTGGTTAAAGTTACTGCAAAGTCAATATATTACCACATCACTTGTCCGCATCATTCCAAGTCATAAATATTTTAATGGTTAGTCTTCAAATCAGTTCTAAGGTATGATACTTACAGGTGGTAGGATTGTATGACTGGTAATTTCTGGTGGACGCATATTAAACTCATCTCCCAGGGTCTCTGGTTCACCAGAAACTGGGTATGGAGGAGGTGGGTAAGGTGGATACTCTTCTGCTAATTCCTCTGGAGATAGTGCACTTTCCTGACTTGGTTGCTCTGCCACAGAAGGTAAACCAGGAGTCGTCTCTGGTAGACCCTCCAGACCTGGACCAGTGTCAACTGGTGATGACAGCATGAGTTCTTCAGCACTTGCTGCCTCAGTCTCTTTTGTTGGCGCTGGCTCTGCCTGTAATGGAACATCTTTACCGGCAGTATTGTCCTCTGCTTTACTGCTAATATCTCGGTTTTCCTTTATAGTATTCTCTTCAGCAGACGGAGAAAGAGCAGGCTGTTTGGGCTGATAGAACGGCATCAAACTGCCCGTTTCCATGGCAGCCACCGTGGTGCGCTGATACATTAGCTTTTGCATATTGGGTCCATTTGGTCCCTCTGGCTCAGTGATTGAGCTGCGCTTCTTCAATGGCCTTGGAGCATTAGACAGTTTTTTCCTCAATGCATCTAAGTCAGCATCACTCTGATTTCGATATGGATTGTACATAAAAGGTAGCAGCTTGGTGGGACTGAGAGGCCGTGGAATACGCTCAGCCTCAGAGTGGTCTCCAACAGAAGATGCATTCTCAATATCAGAATCTGGACCATCCGGTTTATCCAGGCTCTTTGAATACATGCCTCCAATCTCTTGGTCTTGCTGGCTGCTGGTATAATTTTGTGTGGATCCAGGAATCACTGGCTTGCCATACACTGGAGTGAATAAAATGTGGAAAGGGTAGAATTAAACAGATATATAGGTATACATCAAAAGATTGTTCACAAGGGATTGTTTAAATTGTAAGAACACTGATCATTTTATAAACATGCATTTGCAAACTTTTGCATTAAAACAAAAATGACCGAATTTTCAGTGGAGGAGAGTCTGATTCAGCCCATAGTCTATCATCGCTGCTTGCACAATCATGGAATTATACTAATCGCAAGATCTTCAATTACTCATTGATCAAGATTAAGTTTACAGTTTGGGGGTTGTTACTTGTATTTTGCTGTGTTGCACTTAGTGAAAGGTTTTAAATTTAACGAAATGAAAAGATTCAACAGCAACAGGATAATATTTATCACAAAAACATTGATGACTGGGAACACCCAGCAGGTCAGTCAGCATCTATGGAGAAAGCAAAGTGGGTCAACCTTTCGGATCTATGATCCTTAGTCAGAACTGTTAACCCACTAGATCTCTCCATAGATGCTGCCTAACCTGCTGAGTGTTCTCAGCAATCTCTGTTTTTGTTTCAGATTTCCAGCATCTGCAGTATTTTGCATTTTAGGAAAATATTTATTGTTCTACCAGTATGACACTCTGCCAATATATTTCAACAAACCCATCCCCCAAATGAATGATGCCCTATCTCGGAATCCAAGATGGTTAATGGTTCGACAGAATTACCAGCCTTTTTTTTAATGATAACAACTTTCAGCAGAAAAGGTGATCTGGGAGGCAGAGGTCAACAAAACTGCTCGAGAACAGTTCTTGCATGCTTTGGACATTCAAGCAAAAATAAAGCAAACGGATTTTTTTCTTCTCCCACCCTTCTCTGAAGTTGGCCTAAGGAAAATGTGCATCATCATCAGATATGCAATTGAACTGCTGAACAAACAACAAAACTACATTTGTATAGCGCCTTTCATGTGAGGACATCCCAAGGCGCTGACAAATGTTCTCTAACACTAAAAGCCAGCCCTGACTGAGTCCAATTACAAACTAGTTGATGATCTATCAATTAATCACCTAAACTGGCATGATTTCAATCCATCTGGTTTCTTCCCCTAAATCTTTCTCCTGTAGGGATTTAACTTTTTTTTTTAAAAACCATCTGTTAGAGCGTAGGTCTAGGATTGCCGGGCACACAAATATCCATCTCCAGCAGCGATTGCTGGATAGCAACCAGGAGTGGAAGGCGAGTCGATTTTCCTCTCCAACATGGAAGCATTTAGCACCACTGCAGGGGCCTTCCTGAGCTCAGCAAACACTCTGGAGTGCTTAAAACAGATACTTTCTCAGTCTACATCTCAACTACTGTTGGAGAACTCAATCCTTTCAAAGGTGGGAGTAAAAACAATAGGCGACAGCCTGGCTCAGTTGATAGCACTCTCACCACCGAGTTAGAAGGCTGTGGGTTCAAACCCTATGCAGAAAATTTTTGGACTCAGTCTGGAGTCACACTAAAATATCCACTCTAGTGCATGAGGCTCAACATAAACGGTGTTAACTCACAGCTCGTGAATGGTGGCCTCATCGGTGCCCTCGTTAGTACACTTGGAACAGTGTGCTGAAAGTTCTTGCCCAGTGATGGTTGTTGGGTGTACATATTGTAGATGGTAGCCACGGTCTTGGGTTTTCTGAATGGTTGCAATGGGGGTTCTTTAGATGGCTGTGAAGGATAGGGTCGAACAGTAGCTGCAGGTATTGTCTCTGGAGCTGGAGGAGCCTGTATTGTTGTGGTGCGATTCAGCATTTGCTGTGTTCCCGTAGACTGGGTTGGATTCACTTTACTGCCTATTATTCCTACATTCCCAGGTGACTTTTGAGGGCTAACTTCAATTTTATTCTCCGAGACAGAAAGTTGACCAGAAGTGCCATAAGGTAAAGAAATCTGTTTGGGTTTAGAAGGGACAGGTGGCGGCACTTTGACATTCTTATTACCAATCTGAAAGAAAAGATTGACAAAGATTAGTTGACCTGTAAAAAGATTTTAAGCTATCTTCAATATGCAGGGACTGTCTTTAATAAAATGTTGTAATCATCAACCTATTAGAATATTAAACACAAAGTTTAGTACAGTCTGGTAGGGCTCTGTTCAAGCGCATGAAAGAAATCCCCTTAAAGTCCCAGAGTGTTTGCATTCAAAAGCAATAAAAATGCAGTATGTTTACTCAAAAGTAGTATAAAGTATAAATCGTTCCAAATCTCTAGAGGAAACTTATATAAACCTGATTGAAGAGAAAATCTGAAATCCAAGTACTATGGGAAGCTAGCAGGGGAGTGGGATTGATTTGGATTGCTTTTAAGAGCCGGCACAGACATGATGGGTCGAATGGCCTCCTTCTGTGCTGAGTAATTCTACGATTATATACATTGAGGTTTATGATGATTAAGGTACAAGGGAGGGAAATCGTGTGATTTACCGGTTAGTGAATTTTATTAGCTGCTGTGTACCTGAGCATCACGGAGGAGGTCCTCACTGCTCTGGTTTTTCCTTAGTGTTCCAACAGAAGGAATTCCTATGGCAGGATCCATAGCCTCAAACATGGAGACGCACCGCACTCTCTTATCATTCTTGTCTCGCATTACAACATCATCACCAGCTGTGAAGAGATCAATGAAAATGTTTTAAAGCATTCGGTTTAGAGCATGTTGACAAACAAAAATAAATGTGTGTTGGTGCTTGGGAGGATACAATCCCGATTACAACATTAAAAAGTAAAAGGTTGGTATAGTTTGACAAAGCTCTGTATATGCACTAAGTGCACTGAAATAACTCTTCTTCCCAACAAACAATTCCCACTAAGTGATTTAAAAGGCAGAAATGTTCCAATCCATTATAAAAATAGTTGGGCCATTTCAACCCAGGGAAGTTGGCACACAGAAGGGAATACACCTCTTCACTGGGGTGGGGAAGTGGGAGAGTGTAGTGAGAGGAGAGAGAGAGAGGCGAGAGAGAGAGGGGGTTGCTCAATTAAATTTATTTGGGAAAACTATAACTATCCGGATAAAAAATGTTAGTGCAACTTATAAACCTGGCTTTGTAATCCTGTGATATTTAGTGCCAAAAATTCACCCAACTGTACGACAAGGAACTAAAATTCTGTTAGTCAAGGAGCACTTAGCCAGAACAAACACTTTACTCCTCAATAATGGTATTTCCAGAGATCCAACATGCAGATCATATCAATACAAGGATAAAGAAATATTCCCTACACTACAACACATAATGGAAATTATAACATCTAATATTCCATCCAGAAGTGTAGCACAATGCCGACAGTAAAACATTAAAAGTACAATAGGTACTGGTAAAGCCTAGAAATCAAATCCAAATGGCCCCCAAAAAACTTCAGTTCTGAAATATAATTTCACATTCAAATGAATCTTCAATTCTCAGTTTGGGAATTATGGAGGGATTGGAATAGAAGAAGAGGAAAGAGTTGAGATTTATCCTATTTCTAAAAGAACAATTACAGCATTAGAATAGTTTTCTCCCTCACTCTTGATTTGCAGACACATTTTCATTCAGGAAGAAGTCAAAGAGTTGAGGGTAAATGCTTTTTCATAAGGGGGGAAGAAATTGAAGTGGGGTCACACAGACTATCTGAGCACACATCTGAACAGCCGGCTCAAGCATAGAAATCGTTTAAATGTTGGAAGCACAGCATCCACCCACATTCTCAGTCGGAGAAAAGTGCACGATGGAGAATAGGAAATTAAACACTAAAAAAATTCAGAATAAAATGCTCCCAAACACCCTTAAAATAATGCAATTGGCATTTTATGGTGATGGGTCTTTCCACAGATGCTTTTGGAAGTCAGTCATTTGAACATTTGTGCTTGCAAGAAATGTTGCCTTGTACAGCTAGCCTCGTTTACAATAGTCCTTTTCAGCAAAAGGGGAAAATAGCCAAGTGCGTGTGGTGCAGTAGATTCAATCCTTGCTTCGCTAAAGAAACTTTACAGCAAAATCAGTCTCATAGGGGGTAGAGACGGTTACCTTGTCCTGTATTGGGTACAGTTCCGCCTTTACCCAAAGTAGAGGTGCTGTTACTTGAGAAAGCTGATGCCGTAGGCTGACGAACATCCACAACAGATTCCTTCCTCTCAGGACCAGCCTGAGGTGGAGTCTGTAAATGCGCCTGCGTCCCAGTGCCAGCTAAGAAGGGAAAAAGTGACATACTATAAATACTTTGGAGAACAGAACTTTTCACTGTTGCTGCAAACATACTCGCTGCAGCTCCCTGGAATTTTTGGTGGCTGTAATGTCCGGAGACAATAACACCTTCTGTTAGCTGTCTCCGGCCTACTTAATCTGCAGTTCACAACTACTCAACACAATTGCTACCCCACATACAAAACGTTCAGGCAAAATTCCCCATTAAGTGAATATTCTTTCACTTAGACCTAACATTTTATGCACTTTACGGCAAGGCTTAATTGCAATTCACCTGCCCCCTCAGATGTCGTTTGGAGACTGAAGAGAATGTACACAACAAGATTCAAATTTCCATTTTGTGAATAGTTTTTTTTAAAAAAAATTCAAGACTCTTTTTCACAACTTTAAACCACATTACAAGTACAGTACTCTAAGTCATTAATCTCTAGAAGAGGGAACAGAAGCTTAATCTCGGGGAAAAAAAGTAGATTCAACGTTTTTTTTTTTGCGCGACTCCACGGTTAAATCAAAAGAAAAAGAATTAATGACCTTTTGTGCATGCCAGCGCACAATAATCTTTTTATATTTGTACTCAAACCATCCCTCCTCCATGAATTTGGAACAATAACCCACTATTAGAACCCCGGGAGATTAACCAGCTATTGACATTCTGGTGAAGTGAGCATTAACAAGACCTAAATAAGACAGGCTGATCAGCCAGTGACCTGAAATTTTGGACTACCCCTTTCAATTGAAGTGTAACCTGAAATCTACCGCCAAGAAAATTTGCAATTAGCAACACAACAGTATTAAAAGTTCACTGGCTAAGTCTGTGGTATGTTTTTATTCTGCACTCACTGGTATGATTCCAGCACTACTTCAGTTAACTCTTTAGGTGTGCAGGTATGCCAAGCTTGACCATGCAGGTTGACATATACTCACAACTCACTGGGAATGATTATTTCAAGGTTTTTTTTGTAGATTTAAAAAGAGATGGAGGTAGAGGGGAGATAACATTTCTTGTCTTTACACGTCCAAACTTGGGCAAAGAACAGAACCTTTAAGTGACTCCCATTTTTTATGATAAACATCATTAGACTCATCATATTAAAAGAAATAAGGATGTCAGCTAAACCCAAATTGCATTACATTTACTATTAAAGTGATAAACACTAACTCAAATTACTCCAGAACATTTAAGAATTGGTTAGTAATTACTTTAAACAATCCTGTACATTTTGAAACAAAACAATGCACAAAATAAAGGCATCTGGACAAACAGCAAATTTCACATTTCACTAGCATGAAATTCAAATTTCAAAATAAAAGCCAAGAGAGATTAGAATAAGCAACTAAAGATGAAGGAAAATAAATAATTTACATCTCCAATAATATACTGTTATCCATATCCCCCTTAATTTTAACTGCTGTGCGCAATCGGCTGCTGAGTTTCGCCTACAAAATAGTCAATGTACTTTACAGTATATTCTGTGAAGCCCTTTGAGACGTCTCAAACACATGATAAGGCCGTTATAATAATAATAATAATCCTTGCATTTGATATAGCGCTTTTCACGTCGGGAGGACGTCCCAAAGCGCTTCACAGAACACACTGTAAAGTGAATTGACTGTATATTTGTGGGCGAACGCGGCAGCCAATTGCGCACAGCAATGTCCCACAAACAGTCGTAGATTGAAAATGACCAATTTAATTATTGTTTTTAGTTTTGGAGGGATTATTATTAGGCTCTGTGTGGAGTAAGGAAACTTGCCCAAGGTTCCGCCCTCTGCCTGGAATTGAACTCAGGTCTCTCACTTGCAAAGCGAGTGCTCTAACCACTGAGCTACAGGACTCCACGAGTTATCAAATGCAAGTATTATTATTAATTTGCAAACTGATTCTGTTCTCAACACAGGTGCATACATGTAGACTTTTAGCAAAATTCATTAAGACAGGCATCAGCAGCTGGAACCATGGCCAAATCTTCTATCTATCATGTCTGACTGCACATCTCCAACAAGCCAGGAATCCAACCCGCAATTTTCTCGTCTGTACAGTTTAATGTTAAAAGCAGGAATGATACCCTCCTTCACCCCCTCCTCCCCACAACCAATCCCATATGTCCAAATTCATAACATTTATTGTTTTGATTTTCAAATAATGATGGTCGGAGCTTTTTGAAGACGGCATTCTTACTCTCCAAGCACATGAGAGGGCAGCACTCGCCAAACAAACACCTGAACGTAATGGTTTCTTTAATGTATTAATAGGAACCAAAGGCGCTATACAAATGTAATTTTGTTGTTGTTGGAACCAATAAACAGTTGCTTTCCATTCACAAAATAATAACGCAGATATTGTAAAATGTAAAAAAGCAAGATTTGGCGAAAAAGGCTTTGCCTCCCACCGAGTCTTTCTGAATCTCTAATTTTCTGTCTTGGGCTTTCTCTCTCATCTGCAACTCTACACTGTAGAAAAGAATAACCTTCTTGTAATTTTAAACTCCCCAGTTATCACGTTGAAAGTTATATACTTAAGGTTATTATAAATGCTTAAATTTTTCCCCAAATAACTACACAAACACACCAAATCCAACCGTAGGATATCCACTGCAATCCCCCCAAAATGAACAACTCAGCACAGACAAGGAATTGAACATGCAACCTTTAGCCTAGCTTCTTGCTACACAACTTGCAAGGGAAGACCAAGTTCTTTCTTTTTTAAAAAAAAAACCTGAATGTCAAGATTGCATTTTAAGAATTAAAACAATTCATTGTTTGCAATAAACGCTCTAAGGGGTTTCATCCGACATCCTCTGGCAACAAATGCTCATTCCACAAATCAAGATATAGCAGAAAGACAAGTAATTATACTGGAAGAGGAACAGTCATTCATTGTCTGTGAAATCCTACATATACATATTATGTTGCAATACCAACTGGATCTATATTATTTAACTCCATTGCAAATATTATGCTTTTGTTCTACAAAATCCATTTTCATCTCTCCTTACGTTATCAGCATTATACTTGCATTTGATGTCTCAGGTGGGGAGGTCATCTAAAAGTTTCACAGTATTTACTGTAAATTGTAGTGGCTAATTTGTAAGTGAATATTACATATGCGCACACACAAGAAAAATTCTTACAGGTAGTGGAGTCCTGTAGCTCAGTGGTTAGAGCACTCGCTTTGCAAGCGAGAGACCTGAGTTCAATTCCAGGCAGAGGGCGAAACCTTGGGCAAGTTTCCTTACTCCACACAGAGCCTAATAATAATCCCTCCAAAACCAAAAACAATAATAAATTGGTCATTTTCAATCTACGACTGTTTGTGGGCCATTGCTATGCGCAATTGGCTGCCGCGTTCGCCCACAAATATACAGTCAATTCACTTTACAGTGTGTTCTGTGAAGCGCTTTGGGACGTCCTCCTGACGTGAAAAGCACTATATCAAATGCAAGGATTATTATTATTATTTCTAGGAATACAAATGGCCATGTTGCAGACAAAAAGGAGTGAATACAGAGATGCAAAACTTCAGTAGTACCGAGAAGCTAATTTCCACTTGGATTGGCAAGCTGCTGTTACACAGTGATGATCGATCTGTATGAGCATCATCACATCATCATTTTTCCACTACAATCTGAACAAGCGGGAGTCAAATAACCTGGCTACTTACCAATAGAGGTTTTCACCGGGAAAACAGCAGGTTTCACAGTATGGAGAACCGGTATGTTTACTGCGCCATGAGATGATTGTGTAGAAGGTAGGGTAGCGGACCCATTGGGAAAGGCTGGCTTCACCAAGAGTTCAGGTCTAGTTGGGACCCGAGGAAAAGTGGATGATTGGATATAAGGTCCAACTGCAGCAACACGGCTGGGTGAAGATGATATCACCTGCTGAGGAGTATTCTTATCAGACGCAACCTAAACAAATAATTTTACATAAAAGCATTAAAATAATGTCATTTACTACTTTTTCGTAGCAATAATACTTGTATTTGATTTAGCGCTTTTCACATCTTGTAGATGTCTTAAAGCGCTTCACAGAATACACGAAAGTGAATTGACTGTGTACTTGTGGGTGAAACATGGACAGCAGTGTCCTATAAACAGTCGCGGATTGAGTGGCCAAATTTTTTTTTGAGGGACTATTATGCCCGGAAAAATAATACTTCTAGCAGCTCATTACTAATATATATTATTATACTGATTTCAGATTCAAGTTTTGCTTCACTCCCCCACCCCACCATACAAACACTTACCGGCACATTCTCTTTCTGTTGTAAGGCAGCTTTCTTTTTCCACAACCGATCACGCAGATCCCCAATGCGTCTGTCCATCGAGGCCACTTCAGAGTTGCGCTTGCTTAGGGACTCCCTTTGATGCTGAAGTTTGGCGTTCTGCTCTTGATTCAGTTTGTTTCTTACCTGATGGTAGAGCATATAATTATAATAGAAAATGCATTTGATATAGCGCCTTATCATTTCTTCGAGATGTCTCAAAGCACTTCACAGAATACACTGTAAAGTGAATTGACTGTACATTTTGTGTGTGAAATGCATTAGCCAATTGCGCACAGCAGCGTCCCACAACAGTCATGGTTTGAGTGGCCAATTCTAATAATATTTTTTTAAGGGATTAATACCCCCGGAAAATCGATCCGCTCATCGACTAACAGGTTCCTACTTACTGCTGGGTAAACAGTGGCTTGTGGAGTAAGGAAACTTGCTCCAACATTTCGCCCTGCCCGGGAATCAAACCCAGGTCCTCTCGCTTGCGAGGCAAGTGCTCTAACCACTGACCTACAGGACTCCACAATAATAATCTCCATGCTACACAGACATTCAAATAATTCCAAACACTTTCAATAATGGCTTTGAAATGTAAAATGGAATTAATTTGTGAGATGTGAATTAATCAAAAAGATCTATTTTGCTTCTCTCCCAAAGTCTGTGTTGCTGTAAATAAACAAATACTGTAAATTCAAAGAAAATAAAGCACTACCTGCAACTCTTTGTAGAGTCGATCAAGTTCAGCTACAGCAGACTGGGTATCATGGTAACCATCGATCTTTCCACTTTTTAACATGTCCAGCTGTCGGGTCAATTCCTCCACTTTTCCAACTGCTATTACCAACTCTCTCTGTTTCTGTTGGAAGACGGAGTTCATCCGTTCAATTTCTTCCACTGCAAGAAGAAAAAGCCCAGCATTGGAAAACTATCTGGCAATCAGGTTTCCACAATAATAAAAATGTTCTGCAACACAAATTACTTAGATATTTTCAAATTTCTTGCGAGAAAATGTACTACTTTAAAATAAATTAATGACAGTGGCACTTGAAATAGCTGTCAGAAACAGTTAGCTACTTCAGTTGATTAGCTATTCGTGGCTCATCTGAATCCAGTGGTACGATTCTCTAACCAGAAAGCATCAATTTCCAAATTGTCACATTGCAAGTTACTTCACCACAACCTGTGGTGGTGGAGGAATTGCTGAGGATAATATCCTGCAATACACTAATAGTGCAAAAGAAAATGTAAAAGCAAAGGTTCCACTTTGTAATGGTGGATGAAAGAAAAAAAAGTAACAGCTACCATATGCTTGTACCATCCGTATGCAGCATTCCAATACAGCCAGCGCAGGAGTTCCACTTTCTTCATATTGCTTTAAGAGGAGTCAGCAATTGCTAAACTCTAATCCACAAATAGAGGTGATGCTGTAACCGGTTTAGTCCAATTAAACAGATTTTCAAACGCAGCAATTAGTCACGCTAGCTGCATTAAAATCTTTCGCTACGGAATTTTGATATGCTGATCCCTGAAGGAGATTTGGATTGAAATCCCAATTGACGAGAACATGCTCTTCTGTGCTTTGTGGGCTGCATAATGCTGATCGCAAGCAGTGGGCTGAAGAACAGAAAACTGCATAGGTGCGAGTATGAAGGTGTAGACATACCCAGTTTCCCATTGCTAAGTCGATTTTGTTCAACCTGTCCTTTGAGAGTGCGGACTTTCTTCAGCTTAGCCTCTTGGCTCTCGGCAATCTCACGGAGCTTTTGTAGTTTCTCCTGCTCCATCGCCTGTTGTTGCCGATGATCTTGCTGTTTCAGATAGCGCAAACGCTGCTCCTACAGAGGAGGAAAAGAAGGTGCGAGGATCGGATTTAAGCTACTGTCATGCAAAGAGAACAAACAAGCTGAGGAAAAAAGCACATTTTAGCCACATTGCACAAGTGATCATGTAAAGAATTTTCACATCTGGCAGTTAGGTCACATATAAAAACAATCTAGTCCTGGAAGCCCCAAATCTCCAACAATAGAGAACCAATGCCAATCTGATAGCACCCTTGTACTGTGAAGATTCCACAAATCCACTAGGCTCAAGACCATGTATAGTAGGCATTTGAGAAACAAATTTAGGCACGCTAGTAGAGAATTGAAGTGCATGAAACAGCACCAAAGGAATTAAACATTACATTTGTGTTCTAATCTGGCATAGATGGTTTCTATAGAGGCAAAAGAGCCAGATCAGCAGAGCTCTCTCGGTCAACAATAAACTATGTTCAGCTTACTCAAAGAGATCAGTACCACATTTATTGCTTTGATTTAAAGATCCTGGACCTTGGATTCAGACTTACATTTTTCGCCAAAAATAAAGGGGTGAAAAAAAACTCAAGACATCATTAAACTGTACTGCAACAATAGAAAAATTACAATGTTGGGGTCCAAATGCATTATGACAGTCAACTGTAGCTCCGGGTCTAGGCAATGCCGGGGGCGAGGTACATTGTCAGAGGTACCCGCTTTCAGATAAGATGTTAAACTGCGGTTATGTCCGCCTATTCAGATGGCCATTTAAGATCTCATGGCACTATCCTTTCCTGCACTAGGCTCCTTGAGCCAATTACCCCAATCCTCACTTAGTTACACTGGCTCCCCATCCCCCAACAAATCATGTTCAAGTTACTAGTTTTCACCTTTAAATCCCTCCAAGATAATGCCCCACTCTACCTCTATAATCTCAAGTTTTACAAACTCCCTTCACTTAGCGAGCACCAGCCTTCTTCACTTCTCCCCCATCTTACCCTTAGCAAGTGGGCTTGCAGCTTTTCCTGCTCTCACTCTCTGAAAATCCATCCAGGAGTATCTCTTTCACTTTGTTCAAGTTTCGTCTTAAGACCTACCTCTCTCGAGTGTGCTTTTAGCCAAATTTTCCCTTCTCACCTGCTGTGCTCCCACCCTCAGCTTGGGTACCCAGCTAGGACTGTTAAGCACTTTGGGATGTCCTCCTGACATGAAAGATATTATACAAATGTAAAATTGGACTACATTTGAAAAGAGCAGTGTCCTGCCAATGATCTGAGATAAAATTGGTCACTCATTCTGTAGCAGTTTATGGGACAATGCTGTACACAAATTAGTTGCCATATTTGCCTGTAAAAAATACAATCACTACCTTTTACCATAATTCCTGCGAAGTGGTTTGAAACATTTTAACAATGCAATAAAGAGATAAGGAGATAACAATCCTTATATTTGGTAAAAGTACTGCCGAGGGCCAAATGCACCAGTCCATTGCGTCAGATTCTCTCCAGTCTCTTAACTGTACAATGTTAAATTACACCTCCATGCAGGAAGATTACTTATAGACCTAACAACCTACCATTCATGCCTCAAAGCATGACTGTGGCCAAACGTGGCAGCCATGTTGCACACAGCAATGTCCCACAAACAGCCATGGAGTAAGTGGCCAATTTTATTTGGGGGATTTAGTGGCCAAGTCACCAGGAGAAACGGCCTTCTCTTTTCGAATAGTGCCAGGGGATGTTTAACATCCACCTGAACAGGCAGAAGGAAACTTAACTTTAACATCTCATCGGAAGGATGTCAACCAATAATACAAGAACCTCCAGTACTGCAATAGAGTATCAGGTTAGACTATGTGATTCCAAGTTCAGACGTTGGGCTTGAACCCACAACCATCAGACTTGGAGGCGGGAGTGCTACCTCTGAGCCAGGCTGATACATATATAGATGATGTACAGATACATCATGTCATGTTGCAGTTGTTGCAGGGCAACCCAGATAGATGAATTCTGGCCACATCCTCTTGGGAAGAATGACAAATGGGTAAACAAAATGTATGCAAGTAAAAAAAGTGCATTGGGGACGAGTAAAGAAGATCCACAATGCTAATGCAAAACATATTGGGTAGGCATAAACCTCACCCCCATTATCACCAACCCTGACAAACAACAAACAGTTCGTGAAGCACACAAAAGAAAGGTTGCATTAACCTGCCATTATTTAATTTGTATCCTTACACTATGGTTTCATTTGACGATAAACATTCCTCTGGCATTTGTGGAGGATATTTTCTGTCAGCATAAATTTCAAGTTGAATAAACTAGCTCCAGTAAGTAAATCAGTCTTAGTGACACGACTCAGGAAAACATGCACTTTGAAACAATCCCTCCTGGTAAGAGCAGTAACACCCTGCAAACTCGGTCAAGGGGTCTAGAACACTTGGCTACGGATACTGGCGTCAAGCAAGCTATTGATAACCAGGGTTTTAAAAAGGTAGGTTTCAAGTAAGCTATTGATACCCAGCGTTTTTATAAGAGTCATTTAAGCAATTGCACAATAGTCATGACAGTGTTCTGATTATTTTGCTAGTTACTGGAAAGATGTTATTCTCAACAACACATTTGTATAGCGCCTTTCACATTGGCAGGAATTGCACAAAGCGCTGAGAATTCAGACAATACATCTAATGTTGCCACTCAATTAATCATTCCCATAATGCTTAAGTCGTCAAGAATTTTATATTCAGCACAGGTTGTCTCGGAACAGATTTTTTTAGGCAAGTGCATCCTACAGGCACCTTAAAGATCATCTTACAGGAGAATTAATGCTATAACTTGAGAATGCAGCAAACTATGCTTCTCACAACATTTAAGCCATAAAAACCCAGGAGAGAACAGGACATCTGCAAATAATCTTTAAGATTTAGAATAGTTACAAATTAAATTAATAAATCCCTTAAATGGCAAACATCTTTACAATGCCCAACCTAGGTTATAAAACAAACTGCAATGATACAGTAATCTCTGCAACTCTCCCATACACCTTCCTTAATAATAATAATCCTTGCATTTGATATAGCACCTCATCACATCGTCAAGATGTCTCAAAGCGCTTCACAGAATACTGTAAATTGTAGCGACTGTTTTATAGGTGAAAAAATCTGGAAGGTAGAATTTTACAAATCAGTAAAGGTTTGGTGATGTATGTTTTTAATGGGAATATAGTCTCAATACAAATGAATACAAAAAATTCAGGCTATTACAGCTACCCAATGTGATCAATGTATTTACACGGCATTCACCTATGTATAACCAGTATTTTAAGACCACATGACAGATTCTACCAGAACTTTCGCCACTCTCAAGTTCACCACATAATTGCAGATTTATTTCGCAGAGCATCACCAATTTTTTGAACTCATATTTAAACTCTGGGATAACATTGCATTACATATACAATATATTATGTACCTTATTTGCCAGCAGCTGCTGCTGAGAATCAATCTGTTGTTGTTGTCGAGCTGCCATTTCCTGTAACTCAGCAAGAGTCATGTCCATCCGTGGCCCACTCACCTACAAAAGAGGAAAATTCTCAGAATAAAAGTTTTCACGGCTAATTTCACAACATGTTAAAAAAATCAGACAAAAATCGAATGCAAGATAGGTCATGATACCTCAATTCATTAAATACAAAGTTGGGCCCAAAGAAATATGCAAAATGGGTATGGTTCCTCCAGTTTAAAGAACGGTTGGATTGAAATAGCATGGAAAGAGACCACTTACACAGAAGGCAGAATGCATTTAAAAACACACAGGCCTGCTTCAGTTAGGATTGGGATTGTGAAAGCTTGCAGAAAAATAATAATCGCATTTGATGTAGTGCCTTACCATGGCGTTGAGCTGTCTCAAAGCACTTCATAGAATATATTGTAAAGTGGCTGTGAATTTTGTGGACAAAATGCGGCAGCCATCCCACAAACAGTCGTGGATTGAGCGACTATTTTTAAAAAAATTGGAGGGATTATTGCTTGATCGGAAAGCGATCCGCCAATCAACTAACAACTGGGTGCCTACTTAATGCTAGGTAAAATGTTTCGGAAATAAAACCACCAAAACCTAGTTCATCGTAACTTTCTGAGATATTCTACAATTCACATTTCTACTGAACTACACAAATGTTTGGGCTCGCAAGCCAGATATGAAGCAGGAGTGAGAAGGTGGATTCTCCACATCTTTGATTTAGGCCTTAAAAGAAGCACCTATTTTAGCATATGCTTGGTTTAACAGTGATTTGAAAGAAACAAGAGGAGCAAACCTATTATAATCCACACCCACACAATATCACAAGAAATACTGAACTCAATTGCTTCAGACAGTTCTGCTTTGCTCCATGTTGCAGCCTCTCACTAATACATTTCTCATTATGTGAACACAACTTCAGATATTGTAAACTCTAATTTAAACATTGCAGCCTTCACGCTAATTTTTGTGATCCTTCTAACAATAGCAGTGCTAGCAATGAGTGCCCACAAAATACCTTGCTTTTCCAAGTGTCTACTGCCTCAAAAGTTATTGATGTCAAACAAGCAGAACAATGATAGTAGAAACTTAAGATGAGTGATACCAACATGAATCGCACATTCCATAAATTCCTTAGTCTTGCGTCTTAAAACAAGTCATACCAGTATCTCTGATATACATCACTGCAGTTTCTATTGAATAAGACAGTTACCATGGTAATGGAAATATTGTCATAACAAAAGCTTCCTTGTCCTCTGTAAAAGCCTCGTCTCCGCCCGAGGTAACTTTCCCATTCTGCAATTTTACCACTCAAAAACCTTACTCACTAACTTAGCTACCACACAGCATTCTTCCATTGAAAGAATAAAAGCAGTTTCTTCACTTTCAGTGCAGGGTTTAGACAACTAAAGACACGTTACAAGCTTTAACATTTAAAAAACTCTCAGAATATGAGCTTAACCGGCGCCTTGGGATGTTCTCCCAACATGAAAGGCACTATACAAATGTAATTTTGTTGTTGTAATTTGCAACTCAACTAGTTGATCAGTTTGTGAAGCAAATTTTATTACGAAGACAAAAAAAAACTTTCAACATGCAGACAGCAATAATGCCCGCATTTGATATAATCCTTACCATCTCTCAAAGCACTTCACAGAATATACTGTATAACAAATTGATTGTATATTTTGTGGGCGAAATGTACTGTTAAAAGTCACACTGATTTCCATGCTCAAATGGGCCTTCGTAAAAATCACAGAATGGGAGGTTTTACTCATTTCCAATCTAACCTGTTCTCGGTACTGCAATAGATCTCTTCACAGATATGTGCATACTTACGACCCGTACCTGCAAGTTAGATATTTTGCATGCCAAACTCAGAAACGTACATACTTTACCTACAAGTAAAGTAATTTGAGACTTTTAATGTAGGATTAGGGTTTATCTGATGCAAGGTTAGCCATATAATGCAATGGGGTGAGAAGTTGTTTGTAGGTTATATACATTTCTAAACGTATCCAGATATCTCAGGCAGTGCCACAGATCAAATGTACTTCAACTTAACTGAATTTCTTGTCCTTGTCATGAGAATCTTAATCAATTCATAGAATCATAGGATTGTACAGCACAAAAAAGGCCATTCGGCCCATTGAGTCTGTGCCTGCTCTTTGAGTAGAGCAATTAATGTCAATCCCACTTCCCAGCCCTTTCCCCATAACCCTGCAGACCCGTCCTCCTCAAATACCCATCCACCGCGTTTTTAAAAGTAGTTATCGAATCGGCCTCGACCGCCCTTTCAGGCAACGCGTTCCAGATTCGAACAACTTGCTGCGTGAAAATATTTCTTCTCACCTCCCCTCGGCTTCTTTTAGAGATTATTTTGAATCAGTGACCTCGAGTCACCGACACACCCACCAGTGGAAACAGCTTTTCCTTTTCTAACCTATCAAATCCCCTCATGATTTTGAACACCTCTATTAGGTCTCCTCGTAACCTTCTCTGCTCCAATGAGAATAATCCTAACCTCTCCAGCCTTTCCTCATCATCAAGGTCCCTCATTCCTGGTACAATCCTCGTAAATCTCCTCTGCACCTTTTCCAATCCCTTAACATCCTTCCAATAGTGTGGTGCCCAGAACTGGGCATAGTATTCTAACTGAGGCCTAACCAGTGTATTATGTAGGTTAGTCATAACCTCCTGACTCTTACACTCTATGCCCCTATTTATAAAGCCTAGAATCCCATTTGCCCTTTTTATCTACACAATGAAATGACAGCTGGATCATTTGTAATGAGGGATGAAGGGCTTCCTCCAATGAGGGAATTGACAGCTTTTCAGAGACATTGGCCACTTCACTCAGCGAGTTCTGATCTGCTTAATGTCCTCTGGCCTATCCCCCCACCATTGGCGAGTTGGCTTTTAGTCATTCTGTACCCACTCTGAAACTCCCACCCACTCCCTCCTTCACCTCATTCAAGGTCAGTCTTAAGATATGCCTCTGACCACGTGTTTGGTAATCTTTCCACAGTGCATTTAACCACTTACATAACCGGAAAACAGTCATCGTACGTACTCTAGATCATATCTTCCCCTTCATTCAAAAAATATACTTACTCCTCACTAGAATAGACTTGCAATTTTATTCTCAAATCTATTTCCTTGGCAAATTAAATGGTTAAAACAAATATTTTCATGCAACTAAGTCAAGAATGTAGAGCCAAGCAAGTTGAAAATTCAAGATTGTAAGCCAACTTATTGAGGGGTAGGAGGGAGTAAAAAGATAAGATGAGCAGACTTATTTATCAGTATGCCAATATTTCCACAATACAATTTACTGTGCTTAGTACTTACTCCATTTTCCACCCGCTTGTCTGTAGGACCCTTGGCCCAGTTTCGTTTCGCCAACTGATCCTGGAGTCTCACTCCACCTGGAAAAGTTTTTAAAAAATTGACAAAGGGACAATTCATTGGGTTCACCAGCTGCGGCTGTCAACTCACTGAAAAACAAATTGTTCAACAGAAACAATGAGTTTAATCATCACACAGCAAGCATCTAACTAACTGGAGAAGGAACAGGAAGGCAAGCAAATCTCCTGAAAGGGTGACTCACCAAAATTAAACAAGAGTAATACAATAAAGTAAACATTTACATTTCTGGAAGAGGAACAAAAAAAATCCTGAGTCTGAAATTCCTTATGGCGTCATTGAAATTAGCAGAGAATGGTTAGTTATTGCGCACCAGTGAACTTTGCCTCAAATCTACCCAATGTACATACAAAACTATTCACAAGATCCAGCTGGATACAATTGTGATAGACAGATGTTTCATAAGAGAGTTCTGGCAGTACAGAGATTTGAGAAATTGCCTCAATAGTTGCTGATCACTGAACTGAGAAGCAGCTCTGCATATCTCTGTGAAGGAAGCAGAGCCTGACACGGGGATCACCGAGTTATGTCATGTTTTTCTAACTACTGTGAAGCAGATTTCTCATTCCACTTACACAGGCCTTCAATGTAGGCCTGTACAGATCTTCTCCATAAAGCTGGAAATGGTTACAGCCAGAAAACAGTCAATCTGGAACTTGGGAACTGCATGCATGAAGCTTATTATACTACTGAATCGTAAGACTGGATACATCATAAGGTCTGATTGAAGATCCTTTGGGCTATTTGATCTCATCTTTCCAAAATATCCATCCTATTGTCTTTACCATCACAGCTTCAAGCAACTTTTAAAAATGAGTCCAGTATCTTCATGTGTACAGTTTAGCTCAGACCTTCTCTAAATTCCAATCAGCCGCAGCACAATCTTAGGAGCCATGGCAATGTGGTGGCATTTCTACAGCAGTATGATGGTTTCACTGACCAGTACAAGTATTTCTGAGTACAAGAAATATGATAGGTATGCTATTTGAAAAAAATGTTACTAGTAATAATAATAATAATAATAATCCTTGCATTTGATATAGCGCTTTTCACGTCGGGAGGACGTCCCAAAGCGCTTCACAGAATAGACTGTAAAGTGAATTGACTGTATATTTGTGGGCGAACGCGGCAGCCAATTGCGCACAGCAATGTCCCACAAACAGTCGTAGATTGAAAATGACCAATTTATTATTGTTTTTGGTTTTGGAGGGATTATTATTAGGCTCTGTGTGGAGTAAGGAAACTTGCCCAAGGTTTCGCCCTCTGCCTGGAATTGAACTCAGGTCTCTCACTTGCAAAGCGAGTGCTCTAACCACTGAGCTACAGGACTCCACGAGTAGTCTTATTGTCTGAAACCAACATGTCACAAGGTCTCTGATTGTCCACTGATTGTAGACCATTTCAAGCTATTCTGCCAACCAATCTTATAAGAATATCTAGGAATGAAAAGGACAAGTCGATAAAGTTCAACTTTATGATCTATCGTATGAGTGATCAGATCCAGGTTCAAGCCATACTCTGCACAACTCCCAAATTAAAATATGTGAACTTCTACGACTATAAAGACCTAGTTTAACAACAAACCACCAAAACAAGGTGATACATTTGATTTCCAATCTCTGCTCACCCTTGTAGTAGCAAGGGGGGGGGGGAGAAAACAGGCAGTGACTCCACTTCCAATTATTATCCAGTGATCCCTGCTCGAAGATACAATCAGTAAAATGTCAAGTAGGAACAGGCAAAGTTGTGATAACCCTTGTCCTTAACCACAATACAATGTTTCTGTTCACAAAGGCAGTCACTTCATTAGTAAAATATAAACTAAGTAGTCTGGTTTACTCTCACACCACCAGCAGAGGTGGTAGGTCACTCACTTTCACTAAATGATGGATGACATTGCATAGAATGACTGGTAGAAATGGTCATTCCATTCTGAAACAGAAGCAAGCCTGAAGCAAATAAGGAACTGCAAGCTGAAATTAAAGTCGCTCTCGATCTCAGATGTGTGTTGCTTGGATCTGAGCAGGTTCTAGATCCAATCTAGCAGACGCACAACATAATACATGAAATGTTTTTGGTGTAGAATCAAAATAAGGTATAGAATCATGGAATTTTACAGCACAGAAAGAGGCTGTTCATCCCATCGTGCCTCTACTAGCTCTTTGAAAGAGCTACCAACTAATCTCACTCCCCTGCTCTTAATGCATAGCCCTGCAAAATAGATGCTGCATGTATTCTCAGTATTCAGTAAAAATGAGTTCCCACTCATCACTGGAACACTGTGGGCATCAGATGGACAGTATTGGGTTCAGCTGTGACTCCAGTCTTCAACATGAAACTAAACATTAGTACAAGCATGGCAATATATGATTCTCACCTGCTTCCCTGCCTGCATTTGCTGGGCGATCATGACGCAGGTAGAAATAAATCTCATTTCTCTGTGCTCCCCACTGTTGCAAGACGTCATATATTCGCTCATTGTCTGCCAAGGCACGCTCTGACAAAATATAAAAAAAGCAGTTGATACATCCATTTTACAAATCTTTAAAGAAGCTATTGAGCACCAGTGGTATATAAAATTTACTTTTGTCCACACTATGTAATTTTGCAAAGTTTCTCCCCCAGAGCACCATTTAGACCACCTCAAGAACAAGCAAGCCTGCCAGTTGTTCCCTGGGTTTTGCCAATGATGTTCTGAATCAGCCTAATAAGAGCCCACGACAGCAGTATGTAAATTTAAGAATATTGATATGAATGTACCGATTTGCAAGAACACATCTAATCTCAATTTTTTTCCCTCCTCACCTGCAAGATTCTGGTGTTACTCAACATTACTGTATGCCTGGTAGAAATTTCAAAGAATGTTTGATACTATAAAATTGCAATCAAAACTGCTTAAGGAAATTGAGCGGTTGAATTTCCAATGCATCAATCAGTCCTTCTTTTGAAGGACTTCGCTGAACACTTGACAAGCCAATAACTTTCCTTAAAACGGTGGCACGGACAGTGTTAAGTGAAGCTTTTTTTAAAAATAAACTTACCACCTCCGCGCCAGCACTCAGCTAAGTGACAGTCTGTCTCTCCTGGCTCCTTGCAGTAACCAACAACGTCACGACTCGTTGTCTCTGGAGTGATGGGTACCTCGGTGTAGTGCTGCTCGCTGTTACTCAGGTACACGGTGAGGAACATCTACAGATAAAAAGTTTAGAATATTCTTACACTCTGCATAATTCAAACCTTTTCTATTTTGCGCATTGTTATGTCCCACAGCCATGAAATAAATGTCCAATTTTATTTGGGAAACTGTTAGCCAGGACACTGGGAGAAACTCCCTTCCCTTTGAGTTGTGCTATGGGATCTTTAACTGAACTGGCAGTCAGAGCCTCAGTTTAACGTTTTATCCAAAGGATTGACATATCAACAATGCAGCACACTCCAGCGCTACATTGGATCATCTCTTTAGGAAAGCAGTAAATTACTAAACTATGAAATATGCTGCGATTATCTACCTAGAATTATACTATCAGTTTTGGTTGGCTCACACTTATTTTCTGGTCAGTTAGTTAATGAGCTAATAATTACTATAAAGACACCTCATTTAAGGAGCTGTATATCATTATATCATTGTTGTTCCTTAATAGTTTGGTTATCTGCTAAATTGGTGAGCTATAAAAAATAAAAATGGTTTCCACCTCTGGAGGTTTTTCCACATTGTTTATTTTGCACAGCTGTGAGTGCTGGGCAAATTCATGACTGGTTCCTTTATGCACTTCCATAATGGGACAGTACAGCATTGTTCAAAGAACTTATTAATAATTGTCAAAGTGATGGTTTTAATGCTGGTAGCTTTAAACTGAATAAATTCAATCTGGCTAGGCAGTCCTTAAAATGTACTTGTGCATCCATGAAATCAAAGAGATTCTGAATTACAAGCTTCAATCAAGATTTTGTTGGTTTTAATTTTCTGCTTTCAAACTTCTAAATCCTCCTACAATAGTGGCAAGAGGTAAAGATTCACTAAATCTCCAAAATGTCCTCGCTCTGCATCAGCGATGGCCAACCCATGGCTCGAAGGCCAAAAGTGGTCCATCGAACATTTGAAATAGTTTAAGTATGTCTGTTTTATAAATCAATATTTTGCTTCCAGTAACTAGTGAGTTATGATATTGATAATGTGGTCATAAATCAAGAAATATTCAATCAAGAAAAATTTTGTTGCTCGACCAAAACCTTTGGCCACCACTGCTCCATGTAAAACAGAATTCCATACATTAGTAGCAGCATAGGAATAGGATCTTCAGCCCTTCGAGCCTGTTCTGCCATTTAGATCATAGCTGATCTGTATCTCAACTAATCCTTTCAATTCCAATTTCCTGCTTTCTCCCCATATCCCTCAATACCCTGACCTACCAAGAATCTATCAACTTCACTCTTGAAGGTCTGGATGGATCCAGCACCCGCAGCCTTTTGGGGGAGAGAATTCCAGATTTCTAACACCGTTTGAGTGAAAAAATGCTTCCTGATTTCACTCTTAACTGGCTTGGTTCTAATTTTAAGACTATGCACAGAGTAAGTTGTATGAATCAAACACAGAACTGCATCTTTACAGTGCAACACCATTTGGTTTCCAAAACAAAAACACCTCCCCTAAATTCTTCCTCTACAAGATTTGTTTTAATTGAATAAGCATAATGCCCGAAATATTCATTCTAGCTTTAGTGAAGCCCGGATGCATGGAAATAAATTTCTTCCAAAAGGATAGGAACAGTTAGATTATACTTCAGTATAGTTACCACATTGGAAAAAAGAGTCTCAAGTGATACCTGCCTCGGATTAGAAACTGAAAAATAGAATATTTCTGGTTTCCAATACAGCTAACGCAGATATTTGATTTAAATCTCCAGCAAATTACTGCATGAACAGTAGAAGCTGTACTCATTCACACTCGTGCAGAAAGTGGGCGGGACTGCAACACTATAAAAACATGTTGTTTAAAGCAACTCGCATTTTGTCCCCAAAATATACAGCGAATTCACTTCATAGACTATTCTGTGACGCTCTTTGAAACACCTCAAAGACGTGATAAGGTGCTATATCAAATGGAAGGTTTATTATTATAACTTGTTTATTGCTCATTCCAATACTTATAGAGAAGCTGTGGTATTCTACCGCATCAGTCTGCAGCATAGATCTAAGCGGTTTGATGGTGGAAGCCTGTGATTTATTCTGCGTGTTACAATACTTACTGGCAGAAAACCAAGAAAATATTTCGAAACAATATTCTTCACAATAATCAGCTGGTTGCAAGCAGCAACACATCAAGGGGTTCAGAAAGTATCAACATTTTGAGAATCCGTCTCTGCACTCGGCATAATCTCCATTTAACAATGACCAAAACCGCAATTTAAGATAATTGTGATAATTTCCTCCCATCACCAGAATAGTATGGAGGACAGGGCCTGAATTAGTTTTGTCCACAAAATATACAGTCAATTCACTTTACAATATATTCTGGGAAGCGGTTGAGACATCTAGAAGACGTGATAAGGCCTATGTCAAATGCAAAGATATAGCGTTAGGGTATTTTTTAAAAAAATATTATCTCCATGGTAGATTTATATTACTTTAGTGAAAAGATGTTTACAGCTGTACAACAGCAAACATTTAAAATGAAGAGGTCAGAGAAGAGCAAGAGTCTCTGTTCTTGTGTAATAATTCACTTGGAATCTAAAACTGTATTCTCCACCCAGTTGCTATCTGGAAACGCTCAACAGGGAGAAGGTCACTGCTGTATCGTTTTCAAAGTCATAATGTAAATCATTGGAGATTACATCCGCTCAAGAACTAGGTTCTCATTTATACAAGTTTTGCAAAACAAAAATTTAAGCTTCAAACAACACAACTGTCCATTTACCTACAATATTCAGTTTCCTTCTGCCAACCCTGAGCTCTCAACTTTACCATTCACATGAAAATACATTCAGCTGGTTCAGAAAACAGGAAATGATGTCCCGTAGGTGTGGTTGTGATAATAAATTATGTGCCTTGTGAACAATTCCAGGATCACAATGCTTCTCAGTCACAGGAAAACATTTATCCTGAATTGTGAACTGAACTGATTTTGACTTCCGTCTATTGCAGTCGTAATGTTACACACATTTTTGGGAGTCTTCTGCTTCAACCCTCAGCCCACATACTAAGACAGCTAGAAAGATTAAAAATACTTGTGGTCATTAAAATATTTAGCAACCGATACCTATGGTACCATCTGAAATGTAATCAGCAGTAGACAACATTGAATTCTTAAGATTAGTTTCTAATGTAGTTAATATAGCACTATTTACTGTACTGGAGCCAAAAGTCTTGAATTGGTCCTATTCCCACGTCAGATATTTATGCCAACTATAAAACAGATTATTGCATGAAACATACCTCACTATCATTCTGCTTCTAACAGTCTTTATATTCTACAATACTGCAATACTTTAATCCACACATTAACCACCTCCTTATAATTCATAAATTTTGTATCACAAATAATATCCAAGTGATATCAAGAGTACACATTCAATAAGTGCAACGGACAACTTGTGACTTTTCTCAAGGGTGAGGCAGCAATGAAGGCAAACAAGATACTGGACTATATTGCCAAATCAGTTGAGTTCAACTCCCCAGAAATCTATAAATAGCTGTACAGTACTCTGATAAGGCCACACCTAGAGTAATGTATACAGCTCTAGTTACTGCAATACGAGGGAGCCTAGGGGTTAGAGGCGGTGCAAAGGAGAGCAATGAGAATCATCTCAATGTTGATAGTAATGAGTTATATGAGCACAATCAGATACACTACTCTTCAGTCTTGAAAGGAGATGTCTCAGAAGGGACTTTTATAGAAGTATGTGATTTTACAATGTGACAATAAGTAAACAATACTTTCAGATACACCAAGTCAGCAGAACAGGACATGTATGGGTTTAGAGTTGCAAGGCGCAACGTCAGGACAGACCAAGAAGTATTTCTTTACTGAGATGACAATTAATAAATGTTAACAGGAAGGGTGGCCAGGATGTTGGAGCAATTTAAAACAAAATCTTGATCCTGTGATGCATGTTCTCTGGAGAGATGAGATCAAACTGACCAAAGAGTCTTCTTTATCCAAACCTCAGATAATCAAGTCCTGCACAACGTCAAATCTTATGAAAATCAAAGATCAATATTTACAGAAAAAACATAAGTGCTCTTTTGATATTGCAGCTCCAAATGCCAGCAGTTTACCGAAATAGGAAATAATTGTGGGAAAACTCCATCTGCAGCAGGAAATGCCGAAGCCAGACAATAAATGCCTAAAATGGACAATACATAATTAATCCTATTCTCATGAGAGAAAACCATTTGATTTTCAAAATAAGCTTTCCATAGCAACAGTATTAATAATGCTTAATTTACACCCACTAGTTCACTTCTGCAATTTACACAAGATCAGTTAATGCATCGTAAAACGATTCTCCAGTTTACCAAACTAAATACAACAAGTTAATTTTTAATTTAGGCAAAGAAAGCATCAAAAATTTGCATTTAATGCTTTTTAATCACCAAAATTAATTCTGGAATGACGATTAAAAAGTAAAACCAATCAATTGTGAGGATATCTAACCAAAACTAACTTTAAACTTTAGCATTAGTCTACAATTCAAAATTAAATGGCCTACAAATATCACTCAAATGTGTGTTAAGAAAATGAAATACTAGGGCTGGGGTAGAGAAACAAAAATCAAAATTAGACAAAGTTCTTAATCCAGATTGCTATCAAGTGACCCCTGCTGGAAAATAGGCATGTGGACAGGATTAAATTCAATTGCAATGTCACTATGAACTAACAGCTTAACGTTACCATTGTGAAAAAGGAAGTCAGTGGTCCTCGCAAGGACTCTAAGATCTTGTCAGAATGGGAATACTACTTCAGCCTAAGTGTTGAGCTGAAAGTGTGAGATTGTAACACAAGTTACATAGCGCCTTTCATGTCAGGCGGTCTCAAATGTGCTTGACACTGCTGGATGGGCACTTGAGCTGAGAACGGGAACCAAGAAAGAGGACTGATAGAGTGGTCAAAGAAGTACGCCTTGAGGTGGGCCTTGAAGTGGGCAGAAAACAATTCGGAGACTCTGGGATAGATCCAGAGAGGGATAGAT